GTATAGGTACTGCCAGAGGCGTTACAAGGTGGGCCATCCTAGGCAAATTTTAGCTCTTATTTAGGTATGTACTGCATATGAATTTACTTTATTAACAATGTTTATTGAAATATATTCAGTTTAGTTTAGAGACGACATGAACGTGACGAAATAATATTTTTAGTTAGTAGTAGAACAACTAACAAAATATGATTACTAACATTGCATCTGACGTAATCAATTACTTCAAATTTTATATGGTGCCGATTTATTCCCATTCCTAATTCAGATAGTATATCTGTTTTAATTTAAAAGTTGGTTATGGATAAGAAAATTAAGACCTTGTAGTTCATCACTCTACTTTCTTTAAATATATTATGTCCAGGCCCATTATGGTCTTAGTGTAAATCCACCACTACCTACTATCTTCAATAATTCAATTATAACCTGTGCAATCAACATTCAAAGTCAGTAACAAATAAAAGAAAAAATAAAGTTGTGTATTGGTACATAGAACTAGAGAAGAGCTGAAAAAATAAATTGAAACAGACTGCTCCATATTAAAAGGTCAGAAAGGCAAGGGAAAAATATCACAAGAAGATGGATAATGCTAAAACGAAAAACTGGAAAGAGTAAACAAAATTACAGCAAACATAGAGAAAAACAATGTAGCGTAGTACCCTATCGGGTAATGGCAAAACAAGGAGAGATGCAAGAATATTGCTAATGACTAGCCCCAAGGAGTCGGTGCGCATAATGTACGAGAGCTTCTACCTAAAGGACACTTAAGCGGGAGAGAACAAGGAACATTAGGAGGTGAGAACTAAAGTCGTGAAAGTGGACTAGGGAAATTAAATGATGTTCATGAACCCCCGTTTGTCGAAGTGAAACTAGTTTATGCGATTTCCTCGTTTGGTCCCAAGAAGGAGCCAGGCGGTGATGGTTAACAACGGACATTTGCGCAGCGACTATAAGATCAGGCACTGAAACAGCCCTCGCACTCCACATCCAGTGTCCAAAAAAACCTATTTCCCAAAGTTATTGAAAATTGCAACTGACTATTCATTTCCCGAATCGCATCAACCAATCAGGCTTTTAGCTTTTGTTGGGAAAAAATAAGAAAAAATGAGGGTAAGGAGACTGAAATGGTGTATTGTACCCAAAATTAACCTACGACAGTACGTTACGACACAATTTATGCTGCAGCGGAGGACTCCATCTGCGACATGGTTCAGTGTATCAGAGGCAAAGTAGTCGATAGGAAGATAGTGGTGGCTTCAAATTAAATACTAAAATGCAAATAAAAATTGCCCTATAAATCTGCAAAGGCATGTGGTTAGCTACATATTGGACGAGATCCGTAGTCAATAGATAATATTAAAAATTAACCCAGTTATATTTATTATTTTTGTTACAGCATCGTCCTACACTTCAGGCGAAAGAGCTCAAATGCCACCTACGAGATTATTAATAATGAGACTGATGCTTAAGACTGTGTATCACAGACACAGATAGTTTAATATCGAAGATAAACCAATGACTGCATAAAATACTATAGTAATTTAATATTTTTACCTTTTGTTAAGATTAGCTTTTAGTTTAAGTGCACCTGATAATAAGTACTTATGCACGATTAAGCCCGAAGCTGAAGAATTTTTAATATTAGTTTGTATATTTAAATAGCAAATAATAATAAAGTATATGTCAATGTTTCACAAATGAAACTTTATGTCATTAATATTAAATGGTTCCCTAACTTATATGCCAAATAATGTGAATATATATTGGCTCAATGACATTCCTACTATATTATTATTAATCAAATTTTATTTATTTAGTTAATATTATTAATTATTATATAATTATTGATAGAAATATGAATGCTTCGTTATTTTAAGATTTGTTATTGAAACGATTGCAAAATAATCGAATTGACGCCTATTAATAATAAGGAAAATATGTATTTGAATTTTGACTTAAACCTTCACAATAATAACGACTTTGCTATCGAGATGCATGACTTTTAACTGTAATTAATTTTAGAGCATAATTGTATTAATAAAAAATTGAATAAGGATTGTAATATTACGTTACAATTTTATATTTATTAGGTATTGACATTGCACATTTTCAGATCGAAATAATTTTGACTTTTTTACTATAATCATAATGATATGAGTTATTCGAATACGATGTTGAAATATATTAAATCATTTGAAATAAATGAATAAAATATTATCTTGTTCTTTTCCTGTGTACAAAATTATCATGAGGTAAATATTAAATTTATTTTTAGTTTTATGTTTGTTACACACATAATATAATTGACGTCTTTTTTATTATAATCCTAAAATTTCTGAAGCCTCGAAATTATCAACACCTTTTGGGGATGGAGACAGCATTAAAGCAATAATATTTAATAGTGGAAGTCTTTTGGTAGTCCAAAACTCATCTTCCACGAACTAAAACTATTGATGGATCTACCACTCATAAAAAGTTGTAACAGCCACGCAAAAATCATCCAAATGCGAGTCATGGCACGAACTCGCTCATGAACAATGGTGATTCGTGAACAACTTTTTAATTTGATTATTTCCTTTTTTCCACTCAGAGTTTGGATGAAAGTAATCACTAGAAGAAGTCAGGCCCTTGTCAGAAACTATAGAAACAGTCGATCTATGGATAGAGTTATGAAAGTTTAGAAAGCGAAATATATGTCAGTGTCCTGTGATGCTCGACCAATCCTCTTGACCTATCTCATAAAGAATCCAGCGTGATTACAAAGGTAGCAACTTAATAGTTAAAGCTGTGTTTAATTACAAAATTAATAAAGCGTTCAGTAAATGTAACCTCATCAACTATAGATCAAATACCACCACTTTTACGTCCCCACAGCAGGGGCTCAGGCCTTCCTTATGGATGGTTAAGGAGGATGGGCCATAACCCTCCATGCTGGCCCAATGCGGATTGGAGGGTATTAACGACTGCGAATGCAGCCGGGACCAACGGCTTAACGTGCCTTCCGAAGTACGGAGTAGCTCGAGATAATAATTTTTTGATCACCCATCCCGTGACCAACCCTTGCGAAAGTTGCTTAACGACAACGAATGCGGGCCGCGGCGCTTATCCATTACGCCACCGAGCTACTCAAATACAACCAAAATAAAAATTTAAAACATATTTGATAATTGTAAAAGTCATGATGAGCTTCCCAATATGTCTGACACGACCGCACCGCTTCTTTACATTTTTATAACATTTTTTAAATTACTAAAGGTAATATGCTAAAATATGATGCATTGACCTTGTTTAAGTTTAAAAAATTGAAAGTTGAGATTAGAATACATAACGCGATGTTGAATGATGATTTAAAAAAGTACCAGCCTGCTTTAAATCGTTCTGTTACAACCTCTGATGGTAAATCCCCTATCAGCAATCTTATGACTCAACTGAATATGAATGATTAATCATATAAGTAGATTTCGATATTTTGTGTGCCATGATTATTTAATTAAATCATGATGATGATGAATAAAAATATTTAATTTCGTATTATAAATATTTAATTGTATGATAATTTAGATTATATTTTTTTATTACCTACTATTTTGGGAATTGGTATGGCTTGATTTAGGTAACCGATATTTTTACTAATGTAACAAATGAATCAAGCAAGACTAATATTATTGTTTTGTGAGTGCTGTAAGTAGAAATTTATTTGTATGATAAATAATATTAATATTGCACACATTACTTAATTCCAATTTAGCTATTTACAGTAATCTAAAACCCCACCCAGATCCGAGACAATATATCCGGAAATACAAACTAGGACCTCACAGGGTAAACCAATGTTATGTTTATATTTACTTAATAGGTTAATTTTCACATGAATGAAGTTTAACTTTATATACTAGGTAAGTATTTAAGAAAATAAATTGACAGAGAGAAATTGACGTGTATTTTAAAGGGTTTGCGCGTTCGGTCTAGTCATTGATATGAACAAGAAAATACTATTTTGTTTTTTTCTGTGCTTTGAAAAGGACGTTAACATTTTGGTCCTGATGCATCAGCAGTTAATATCCAACAATCCGCAATAGGTCAATGTAGTAGAGCATACAACCCGGCTTTTCGTTTACCCGAATAACACGGTTAACCGGCCGATTTGAAAACCGAAAAAACGGTTTTTTTACTCAAGCAAAATCAAAGGTTTTTATCAAGGTAATTGAAAAGGTATGTATTTGATTTTATGTAACGAATAAAAAATATTTTTTATAGTTATATGTATTAACTAAATATTTGTGAAACATTTTTCAAAATATTTAATTGATGGAAAAATATATAATCTTCTTTGTCCTAATTACTTATTGCGTAAAATATGTGATTTTATAAGTCCAGGAGCTAAATATATTATTCCTTTATTTATACTGATTGCCCACGACTGCCCAAAAAGCAGTGTATTGTGTTTAGGGTTAATGTAAGTGTGTATGTTAGAGAATTGCCCAAAAAGCAGTGTATTGTGTTTAGGGTTAATGTAAGTGTGTATGTTAGAGAATTTCTTTATTCCACGATATTTTTTTGAAGATTAAACAGATATAACTAAACAAGGTATCATTACATTTTATATTACAAATATACACTGATTTCATTTAATAAACCAAATTAATTTATACATCCTTTTATTTCAGGTTTTTATCAGAAATAAAACAGGAAAACAGTAATAACCGAAAACCCGATTAACTGGTTTTTAATTAGAGAAAGCCGTGACTAACCGGTTTTTAAAAAACCCGGTTTTTGTATACCAACCAGCAGTGGGGACATTAATGGGCTGGTGATGATGAGAAGGCCCGTGTCTTATAGTTATGGGTGATAAAATAAGTTTTAAGTAAGTTTTCTAGTTATGATAGGTATATTTTTGTTTTGCTCATACAACTACTGTTCGAAATCCACTTTTCCGTCAACACTACAATCATCGTATCGAAACTTTTGCGACATAATAAATAAATACTCCGTAAAATGCAGTTTAGTATTATGTGAACTCTGCTGGAGTTTGGATGTAATGTCTTTTGATGTTAGTCATAATTAAATAAAAGTTTATGAAGTTTTTCGATAATGGAATCTGTTCAAAATACTCCTAACGGAAATGAAACTACAGATGAAGGCGATGCAGGCTCAAGTGAAGATCAACCCACATCTTCAAAGTTTACTGTGCTAATGGAGTTTCCTTTGTTTATAACAATGTTAGGTATCGCTATATCGGGTAAGTTTACTAACAAACTAGCTTACTGCCTGCGGCTTTGCTCGAATAGACGACAAGATTTTCAAGCTCCTATTTATTTTGGAGTTGAATATTTCAAAACAATATAGCTAAGGGAAAAGTTTCTTCGCATTTTATATGATAATTCAAAACATTTTTTAATAAAGTTTTATTTACATTTAACTAAAGTATGTAAGTATCATTTTGGTCGATTAGTTTTTGCCATCTTGTAGTTAGGGACATGATCCCATTTTTATAGAAATTTTGGAGCTTCTGATCTATAAATCGTGACAAGTGGTTTTGGACACTTAACCTGACACTGTCTAAAGAATTCTGAAGAAACTGAAACAGGTGGAAATCTGAAGGTACAAGGTCAGGACTATACGGTAGATGCATTAACACCTCCCAGCCAAACTCTTTTAATTTTTGCAGAGTGGAGTGATATGTGAAGGTCTAGCGTAATCATTCCTTATATTGATTAATTCAATTTCTTGCTTTAATCTCCGAATTCCGAATCGATAATAGCGGCTATTACCGCTCATAATGAATAATGTCCTCTAATCTCACCATACACACATCATCACCTTGAGCTATTTCAAGCAGTGCATTCCATTAAAAATACGGCGTCGAACACGGTGTTGTTACAACATCGGAGGTTTACTAAAGGTTTTATTTGATATAACCTCTATGAATATCCTCTAACCTCTATGAAGCACCTCGAATAACCTCTATGAAGCAGTAGGTTGGTCAAAGCGTTGTTTAGTAAGTCATCGTTGTTTAGTTGTTTGTTCTGTGTCAAACGTAGAAAAAGTTCTATGACCTTTGCCGTTTAATAGAGAATGAACAATAGAATGTAAGAATAATACGAACAATTTGTATTTTACAATTTTAATATCAGTTACTTTATAGTACCTACTATATCTCCATTTGTTATAGACACTAATGCCAAAAGCTTGAAATTCAAATTCGATTGCAGGATTATATTTTAGTAACAGATAGTTAGTGTATCTGTGGTAACGGAAATACACGAGATAATTTTTATATAAAGGAGGTTATACGAAATTCATAGATTAAACATATCTAGTGATGTAATACATGTAGAACGAATGACCCGGTTTATACCAATTTAAGATTTGGACCCAGTTTTGGCCATTTTCAGAGTTTCGAGGCATTGAAATTAGACACATAATTCAACATTTTCAAGCAGGTGTGGGCAAATATTATAACCTTGACCTCGGGCCGAACAGCTTTTTTTCTAATTTTAAGTATAATTTTGCTAAGGATATCAATTAATGAATTTTAAAACCAACATTTTTGAATCAAAATAATTATTTATCAAGTATATATATCAATAACTAATAAAATTGTGCGACTATTATGCATACTGTAATTATTCAATTATCATAATTATATTTTCGAATAGGAAGCGCTGAAAAGAGCGGTTGTCCGGGAGGAAATTTTGGCTCCCACAGGTCCTGATAATGTGTTTAAGTATTGCTTAATATTTTATATAAAAAAAATATGCACCATTTATGTTAAACAAAAACTAATATTTGTGTTTTTAATAATAATATATACAAATCTTCAGGGGCTAGACAAAATTCTACGAGGCCGTCATTTGCCCAGGCCTGCGTTTAAGTAACATTTTAGTAGTATTAGTAGCTTACACCCGGTTTCTGAATTGAGAATTTGAAGTTGAGCACGTCTCAAACCGTGCTTAAGCCATTTTAAACGTCAATTAAACAGCTTTTCATTACTGATTTATTACTTTTCAATTATCAATTGATAGCAATTTAATAAAACAAGGACTTTTTACCATGTGAAACGTAAAAAACTTAAGTTATTGAGAAGAATCAGTTGAGATTTTGTACTTTTCTCAATTCAGAAACCGGCCGTTATTCTACAAGTTAGTCATAATGCTTTAAAATCTTAAAAGGCAATAAAGGGACCAGAAGCGAAAATTGGCTCATTTGCCCTATATTTACTTATTTATATCAAGAAATTATATTTATTTTACAACACACAACTGAACATTGTTGTTCGGTGAGTAGACAGTAATCCATCAATTATTTCTGTTAATTCCTTGTTAAGAGCCATATGACAAATTTTCACTCTGTGATTTGAGTTCTCGAGAACTTGTTCAAGGTCACGAGTCCACAATACTGTGTTGAAACCACGTTCAAGCTATTTTGATACTTTTCCCAATTTTTGTATTTATTTTAGTATTTCTATGGTGAGATTCATTATCGACCCGAATATTTTAAACGACTGCTCTCGAAAAGGAGTCTATTGTTTTTAGAATTAATGTATGTATGTGAGTATTTTTATTGCACCATAACTTTTGAAAGATATAACGGATATGAATGTACAGGGTATCATTAGAAACATCATCCTAAGTCACCACAAAATACATAAAGTATCAGTGAAACTAGCTTAATTATTAATATTAAATAGGTATGGGGACGTGTGACGCCATTTAAAAAAGTATGTTTTTTTATAATCATAACTTTATGGGTATCAAATTAAAGGTCCATTAAAAATATATAATCTGTATACAAAATTAACTGCTCACTAAAATGAATAAAATATAAAAATTATTTAAAAATTAAAAACACGACTGCTAAGATCGGACAAAAATTAAAAGAAAGAAGTTTAGCCAAATCATAGGCTATAAATATAAAAAGCGATGACAATATATCAATAAAATTATAAATATTAATTAAAAAATATTCGTGCCATATTTTTCGTCGACGATTTCGAAATATTTTCGTCATCCATAGGAAACATGGACTGTTTCCTGTTTGGAAAAGTAGTAAATTAGAATTATATTAAACTAGTTGTGCCCGCGGCTTTATGCGAATGGAAAGTAACCTAAGGTTCTTTTCTCATGGCTAGATGCGATGTTATTCGATATGAATGAACGATATCACACGAATCGCATGCACTTATAAAATGTATGGAAAAACTCAAGTGTTTGCTCATGAGATTGTACTATCTGTCAATATCGGTCACAAATCTCATGGTCTGCGGTATCACTTCAAATGTATGAAGGTGGTAGAACGCTCGATCTGCTTTTGATTTTCTGTTCAATAATATCGAGGAACGATTCATTTGCTCATACTTACCATATCATCAAAATATATTGAATTTTACAAAAAATACGGCAATATCCGTATATAAACAAATGAAAAGCTCGATGGTGCCAGATAGCTCGTTTGATCTGCGATTGAGGAGGTTAAGCGACGATTGCAAAGGCCGGCAATTGGATGGGTGGTCAATTTTTTTGGAGGTCAAAAAAGAGATAAGGCAAAAAGAGCATATAAGAAACGTCCAACTAACCGCAATCTTATTCGTTTTTAAGGTTCTTCGAAATTGCTGCAGTCATATGTGTAGGGATGCTAAACGACGCTTCTTCCATAGCTTTCTACTGATCGCAATCCTACTGATGCCTGGCGGTTTTTGCGCTCTGTAGGAGTGGGGAAATCTACTGCTAATGTGTCTACCAATGTAGATTTAAGCCTCCTTAACAGACACTTCTCCCTTCCTCCTTCTACTATCGATGTGACATAAAGGATTCTACGCTCGCAGAACTTTCACTGGTTCCGAGGCCAGACTGCACATCTTTTGTCTTTTCAAAAATATCCGAAACTGACATTAAAAATACCATTCAAGCCATTTCTTCCGAGGCTGCTGGCGAGGACAACCTAAGCGTAAGAATGTTTACCCCTATTTTATCTTTTCTCCTTCCTATACTTGTTCACATACTTAACTTCTCACTTGAATCCGGTTCTTTTACCAAAATTTGGAAGATGGCGCACATTATTCCACTGCCTAAAGTATCTAATCCTTCAGTCCCATCTCATTTCCGTCCTCTTTCTATTCTTCCCCTTCTCTCTAAACTTCTTGAGCATATTGTTCATAAGCAATTATCAACTTTTCTTTTTTCTAATTCCCTTTTGAATAGGTACCAATCTGGTTTCCGCCCTGGTCACAGTACTGTAACAGCTTTAATAAACATTACTGATGATATTCGTTGGGCTATGGAGAATAAAGCTCTTACAGTTCTAATTCTTCTAGACTTCAGCAGTGCTTTTAATTCTGTCGATTTTGACATTCTTCTCGCAATTCTTCGTTCTTGCAATATCTCTCCTTCTGTTCTCTCATGGTTTGATTCCTACCTTCGGGGACGCACACAACGTGTGCGTCTTGGTAATAAATCTTCTGATTGGTGCGACCTCGGTGCGGGTGTTCCTCAGGGTGCTGTTCTCTCACCTCTCTTATTTTCTATTTTCATTAACTCGGTTACTAAAGTTATATCTTCGGACTTCCGCCTCTATGCAGACGACTTGCAGCTTTATCGACACTTTAAAATAGAAGAGTGTAACTCGGCACTGGTAGCTATTAATAACGATTTGGATCGCATTAGTACTTGGGCAAAATCGTTTGGCCTCATGCTTAACCCGAGTAAATCTCAGGTCATTGTGATAGGTAGCAGGTTTAATATTAATTCTATTTCTGCATTATCTTTACCACCCCTGCTTTTGGATAGGACTCAGATCGAGTTAACAGACACTGTAAAAAATCTTGGAATAACAATGGATTCAAATCTATCATGGACTGCCTATGTATCTGAGGTTAGTCGTAGGACCTTCTTCTCATTTCACACACTTAAATGCCTTCAAAACTTTTTACCTTTTAAAACTAAAGTGTTACTAGCACAATCCTTAATTATACCTCTTCTTGACTATGCAGATGTATGTTACTTGGATGCCACTGAAGAGTTATTAAACAAACTTGAACGACTTCAAAATCTAGCGATTAGATTTATTTATGGTCTTCGTAAGTATGATCATGTGTCACATTTACGTAAGCAGCTCATGTGGCTTCCCATTCGTCAGCGTAGATATGTCAGGATTGTCTGTCTTCTGTTCAACATCCTGTATAATCCCGTCTATCCTTCCTATCTGCGTGAGCGTTTCTCCTTTTTCCGTTCTCTTTATTAAGTTTAATTTATGTTTGTTTCTGTAAATAGTGTAATGTCAACAATAAAGAGTTATCTATCTATCTATCTCTTTGCAGATCCCACCTTAAGTCTTCAAACTCCTTCACACAAAACGGATTTTGCTTCATATTCCTTCACTGTTCATGCTGCTAGACTCTGGAACTCTTTGCCTGCCGATATACGTGACAGTCGCACTATTTCTGTGTTCAAAAAAAGAGTAAAGGATCATTATCTTTCCTGTTGTTGATATTGGATAGTGTAGGTATTATTAATCTTTATATATTATAGATATATATATTATTATTTATATAATGTTTGAACCGTTATGTATTTTTATTTTCTCTCTTTCCCGGTATTTGAATTTGTTTTTTTTTTATTCCATATTAATTTATTTAGGAGGTACACACTGACTACCTTATTGTATTTCTTTTTCCTGTTTTGGGCCTGCTGGTAGAAATTTCAATTTGAAATAAGCAGTGCCCTTGTACTAATGTCTGTTACATTTGTTCATATGAAATTGTATGTGTGTACAAAATAAATAAATAAATAAATAGATAATCCAACATTTTGTGGCGGCGGCCATCTTGTATATAAAATTTTGTCATAGTAAACAGTATTCTACTATTCAAGCCCTTTTATTTAATGTCCGTATTGAGGGAGTCGTGAAAAATATGTAGGTAATCCAACATTTTTGGTGGCGGCCATCTTGGTTATGAAATTTGTCATAGTGTTCAGTATTCTACTACTCAAGCCCTCTTATTTGATACCCATATTGATGGAATGGTGATAAAATATGTGATCCGACATTTTGTGGCGGCGGCCATCTTGTATCGATTTTCATCAAAGTGAAGAACACTCCCGACTAATACACCTTTTAAACAAAATCAAAATGGGTTCATCCTTTGGGGAACTATGATGCCACAAAAAGACACAAACACACCACACACACACACACAGAGACATGTCAAACTTATAACACCGCGTCGTTTTTTGCGTCCGGGATTAAAAATATATTGAATTTAGAAAAGGTTGTTTCATATGCGGATCTCCGATAAATTTGATATCGGTCGAATTGCATCGAGCCATAAGTCTAAGTTAATCCTCATTACGTAAGTCAACTTCTAGTGAAAGTCTCTTCAAAATCGGCCAAGCCGTTTCAGAGATTAGCCAGAACTAACAGACAGAAAGATAAAATATATTATTTTTGTATATGTACCATGTATACACACAAATGTATTTAGTGAAAAGCGGTTATTTTAATATTACAAATATCCAATTTTATGTACTAGTATAAGTGTATTGAGAGAAAAAGTACCTTGCTTTATTTGCATTTCATAATATAAATATATATTTTAACTTTCTTATACAAATATTCCTAGGGGTCTTTCGACCTATGCTGAAAATAACAAATGTGTATTAGAAATAATTCAATAAGCTATATAAATTCCATATAAATCGAACTTCGTGACCAAAGTTGGAAGTCCCACTATACTGCTCTATTTACGCTCGCTCGAACGTATCTAGATCGAAAAATGGCGCGAAGAAATGCGACACAGGTCTAACGTTGAGGAGCGCTCGCGCGGTACTGAGCTCAGACGGCCGCTGCATCTTATTTTGTAGTGATTTTGCGTTTACATTTATCGTATTTATTGAAATAATATAATATATTTATGCTTTAAAATTATAATAACTTTGTTCGTTATGAAATAGTCATTAATCTGGCATAAATTTTGTTAAATAATATTGTTGTGGCTAAGAGAAATTCAAAGTTAACTTCAAGCAATTTTTGATGTTTTTTGGTTTGTAATATAATTGTTTTTCTATATTTAATCAGTGCTATTTCAAAATTTCGAGCTACTATTTACTTTACGACTATATAAGAGATATCATTCTATTTCTTTTATTTCGTTTGTTAAGAACAGTAGCTCAATCCAGGACTTCAAAAAAGTGTCTTTGCGCATTTTATGAAAAACTTTCTCTGGTATTTTGGATTTAATTAAAAAGATGAGCAAAATTTCCAAAAAGTTGAGCCACTAATTTCTATACCAAGAGTTATTCTTCATTATTCAACAAGTCAAAATTGTTAATTTGTTTTTGTTTCCGAGAAAAATCACGCAGAAATCACAGTTGCGATGTAATATGGCTCTTAAGTGCCTGTAAAAAATTGCTATTTTTGCGATAAGGCCGCCGATTGTATGTAAAGTGTACAATAAAGTGTTCGGTCTTTCATTCATCAATTCAATATTAAAGATAGGTTGTACTTTAATGTTACATTTTTTTAACTCTTCGCTATAGGAAAAACCTAATGTTTTCTAATGTACACTTACGTTTCCAAAATAAAAATCTGGCTGGAAAGTATTTCATTAAAATATTTGTGTGTGCTATCACCAATCACGATAAAGATATTTTAAGTTATCTAGATGTTACAATGCAGGTGATACGGGTAGAATGTTACAAATGCCCTCAACCTTGACTTACGAGTACCTAACGCGATTTCCGAAAAAATACAAAACTAAACACAGAAAATTTATAAAAAATACGCTTTCTTATAAATACATTTCTCATTGTAGTCACATTTCAATGTCAAATATTATTATTGGTCACCCATCCTATGACCGACTTTTGCGAAAGTTGCTTAACTTCCGCGTCGCAGACCGCACGCGCTTACTACTGCGACATTGAGCTTCTATAGTATTGCTGTATATATTTAGCTATTGATTCTTTTATGTTACAGGTGCACCGACAAGTAACCTTATAATGTATCGAACTTGTATACATGCTCTGAACCATTCTGTGGACGAATGCAGATCTTTTCTGTTACCTGAAGCCATAAACCATACGCAGCAGCTGGAAACTGAAGTACAGCACTATGCGACCTTCGTGACTACAGCGAGGTCAGTGTTGCAGGCCGTGGTGCCCGCAATCATGACCATGTTCATTGGAGCGTGGTCTGATAAACATGGTAGGAGACCACTAGTGGTATGGCCTATACTGGGTAAGTAAAAAAAGGTTTTATACTATAAAAAAAAAACCTGCCAAGTTGGAGTCGAACCTGCGCACGAAGGGCACCGTACCGGAAACGAGCAAAAAATGACGTTTTTAGTATGCCCCTCTAAAACATTTGTTTAAATTTAATTTAATGATTTATTTTTAAAGTTATAAGATGAATACATATTCTATAAATATTTCAAGCCTCTACTCTGTTGACGTTATCAATATCGAGCTAAGATAAGCAAAACATCACTTTTGTTGGATGGGAGCCCCCTTAAATATTTATTTTATTCTAGTTTTTAATTGTATCACTTGTTTAAAGTTTGTATCCATTCTATTTTTTTTAAGTTTTTATGCCTTTACGCTGAACTCAGAGTATTAAATGAAATTCTTACTTTCACATTATTTCTCAGATATAAATACTACCTAGGTCTCTTTTGATATTATTTGAGTGTATTATTTATCACTTTTTTAAGTTTTAAGTCGGTTCTACTTTTGGAAGTTTTCAACTCCTGATTTTTAGTAATATTGATTTGTTTTTTATATAAGAGGTAACACAATTCAACATAGTGAAAGTCTTACGAAAGAAGATTTCGTTTATTTGCTCGACATATTTTTTCCAATAATTCTACACTCATTAATATGAATCTTTATAATAAAGAGGAAAGATTTTATTTCTTGTTTGTTTGCTAGTTTGTAAGAAATTGTTTCATAATTCAAAAAGAAGTCGATGAACATACCAACTTTCATAAAAACATACATACATCGCCGTCGAATATATAACCTCCTCCTTTTTGATTTTTAACTCGGTTAAAAAGCGTAAACGCGAGGAAATAAACTTGCTTGTTAATGAGATAGATAGGGACAGAGAATAGCATATATTTAATTTTATTTTTTTTATGAATGAGCAAAAATATTTTTTATTAAATGATAAGATTTTTCATGATTCCCCTACTGATAAAAATCACTTCATATTAAGACGTACGAGGTAAATATGTTTTAAAATCACAAATGAGATAAGCGTTATTTCCCGTTAATTTCAACTTAGCACTTTTATCGTAACCCATGATTAAATCTAGGACATTTGAGATTAAAATCTTTAAGTTGTTGACTTTTTCAACAATGAGGTACCCATTTCATATTGTTCAATTTTAAATGTTGCGATAAATCTACCCAGAAAAGTACAACAAAATTCTGAAATAGAATAAGAGGTGTAATGTTTTTTAAATTTATTTTTTATTCATATGAACCTAATTTCACAAGTGTTTTTTGTGTGTAATGTAATTTATGGATGGATCTAAGCACTGGGAATTCTTAGAGATTCTTTTTAGATTGGGCCTTCCGTCCTTGTAATTCGCTACAGGTTTTGGTTCTTCTCGAGAATTCATAATACCTACCATCGTTATTTCGAATTTACATATTGCGAATCCGAATAATAATGGCTGATATGACATACCATTGATTTTTTAAATAATATGTAGTTTTAGCTAATTATGTTCCTAATGATAACTTTTAGGAATATTCATAACCAGTGTTATGATGGTAGTATACAGTATGCTGCCATCTCTCGGCCCATGGTGGTATGTGGTGATATCGCTGCCGTTTTCTTTGAGTGGTGGCTTCGTGGTTCTATATGTTGGAAGTATGTGTTACGCTAGTGATGACAGCACTACAGAAAACAGAACAGCAAGGTAATATTTACTTAATAATCTAGGACTTCTATCTATACTAATAATAAAGCTGTTGTTTGTCTGTTTGATTGAACCCTACAATCTCCGGAACTACTGGTACGAATTGAATTATTGATTTGTGTTGAATAGTCCACTTATCGAGGAAGGCTATAGAGTAAGAAATCAGATTTAGAGACCTACAAGCTTGAAAGTGCTTATTTTTATTAGAGTCAGCTAAATATAGCTGACTCTGAATATGTGAAAATTCATTTTTACCTAGCTATAGATATAATATAAATATTTAACAACATCACATACATTGCTCAGATTCCAAGATGAGTAGCTAAAGCCCCCTTATTATGGAGTATCTGAGACAACGAAGGTACCACAACACCTAGACCCGAGTCAATATAGAAAATTTCATTTTCTACATTGACCCGACCGGGAATCGAACCCGGGACCTCAGAGATGGCGATACCTTGAAACCGGCATGCGAACCACTCGGCCACGGAGGTCGTCACCGAGTTTGTCATGTTTCAGAATTTTGTACGTGGAAATGGTATACACAGTAGCGTCTACAATAGGATCTTGGGTTAGTTCTTACATACTGAAGGGGCTTGGCGATATAACTTATCTGCTGTTAATAGAGTCCACACTCTACGCTATTGCATATGTATTTACGGTGGTCTTCGTCAAGGAATCCCTGAAGACGGCCACACCGGTATGTACGCAGGTTTTATAGTTGATATATCTTCATTGAGGGCTACAGTTCTTTTGCTCACCAATGTCAAAGTTTATTTAAAATATCAAGCATGCTCAATAAACACTAACCTCTAATTTAGCTATTCTTGCAACCCCTTTTCAATTTAACTCCGTTTTTAAAGTACATTCACTGTCCCGTAATTCACAATCCATTCATAATGGCTTCAATGAGCCTCAGGTACCTCAAAATAAGCACAAAATTCGTTAATTTGAAAAGAAACTCTTCTTCTTCTTTTATTAATGGCTTATATGCGCATTTCGCACAATATTGCCAATGTCAAGTAAGTAAATTAATTTCTACATGTATAATGAAAATGAAATTAATTAAAGATGGCGATGATTCGGATGATTATTCAATATTATATTATTATTATTATTAAAAGAAACTGGTAGCTTGCCTGCCGGCAAATTATGATAATTGACATTTGACAGGTCTCTACACCTATCATCTCTAGAGGCAAATTCAAATTATTTGTTTAAACCTGAAAAAAATGCAGTTTTGTGCCACTATAACTTATATAGACAGTTAAATGAACAAAAAAGAATTTATGATGATAAGTGGTCATTCTTTTTTTTAAGAAACTATAAAACTTAGGTATTTCTATCGCTTATGGAAACCTTCTGATTGCATGTCAGAAATAGTTTTAAGCGATTTTATCGTAGCATTATAGTATTTATATACCGAAAAGAAGACATTTATCAATCAATTCAACGATGTTCAACCAATAGTGATTCATAATATGCACATATTTAACTGCTGTGAATGTTTCAACGAATTATTGAAATTATTTTTGTATTTCAGGGCACATTTTGGACGATTTTGAACATAGACCATATAAAAGAAGTAATTAGAAGTTGCTTTAAGGAGAAACCTAATTATGGGAGAGCCATAACATTACTCGTTATTACTGCAACGGGCCTTTTCTATATCCCGGTCTACGGAGTTTCAGGTCTTATCTACCTTTACACAAGAAACAAAATTCATTGGACGATGAAGGATTATACTACTTTTAAATCGATCAGTACTGCCATGTGGTTCCTTGGATCTTTGTTTGCGATAAGAGTATTGCAGAGGGTGTTTCATATTAGTGACATCGTTTTTTCGATGGTGGCATACGCTAGTTGTATTGTTGAATATTTGATCAAAGGGCTCGCGACAACATCTTGGCACATGTACTTAGGTAAATCATTAGTGTATTATTATGAAATTTTCATTTTCATATAGTGTACGCCTTCCTCTACATTAACGCTTATCTGCATTTTACTGCTATTAATATGTCAATTTTGCCGCCTCCCATTTATGCAGTTCAGCAGTTTCAACATCGAGTGGACTCAATTTGTCCAGGCATTCCATTTTTTACATTTGTGTCGTGCGTGTTGGTTTTCCCTCCATTTCAATCCAATGCTTCAATGTGTTTAATAGATGTATAAATAAAAAAATAACTTTTTACTCAAAAAATGTGGTCTACTAAAATAAAAATAAAACTGACCAAATGCGAGTCGGAATCCGCACGAAGGATTCCGTCGAATCGAGCAAAAAAAAATCACGTTTGTTGTATGGGAGCCCCCTTTAACATTTATGTTATTTTAGTTTTTAGTATTTTTTGTTGAAGCGAAAACAGAAATACACCATCTGTGAAAATTATGTATTTCTGAAAGACAGCGAAGTATTAGTAATAGGGAACCCGTTTTACCCTTTGGATATAAAACTCTGAAAAACTAATGGTCTGCCCGACTTCTGGCATTATAATAGCATTTAGGGACAGAATTTTTCTAAAGATTTGATTGAGATAGGCATCTCAATACGAGGATAAAGCTTACTGGTTTCAAGGTGTCGCCATCTCTGAGGTGCCAATGTACACAGATGACATTTTCTATTTATTATATATGATTAATTTTGTATTCACAATGTTATGCTGAAAATTGCTTGAAAAATTCACTTGCCCCAGGTACCCTGAGATGGGACACGAATCCTCGATCTTTCGCAATTTTACCTTAATTACTTCAGACCTGTATTAAACAAGGTGCTGTAGCTTGCTGCTTTTACTTAATTTGAGATGTGACCGAGCAATGTATGTGATGTTGTCTAATATTTGTAGTCAGGCAGGAAATATCGTGATGACGTCATAAATCTTTAGCGATAGGTCAGTTTTATAACTATCTCACTATTTCTAGGCTCAGCTGTATCACTGTTTGGAACAACCTCTGGGACATTTCTACGTTCGTTTCTCACGAAGACTTTACCAGCATCTGATATAGCGAAGACATTCGCTTTGATGGGGATAGGCCAAGCCTTATGTCCAATAATGTCACCCATTATATACAATACCCTTTACGCTTACACAATCAACGAGTTCCCTGGAGCATTTCTGATACTTTCAACTGGCATTGGCTGTATATGTTTCATATTATTGGCGTAAGTACTTATATGTTGATTTTTAAGATATCTTTAAGGGGGACATTACATTTCCCACTGCTGAGGGGGGGGGGGGACTTGGGCCATCGACCCACCACACGGGCCTAGAGCGGATGAAGCAGAAACAGTCGGGACCGACAGCTTAATGTTAACAACACCCATCCTATGACCGGGCATAGTGAAAGTTGCTCACCATAGATCGCGCTTTCGTCATTGCTGTGTTGCCTGATTTATGGCTCATTTACACTGGGGTCAGCATGTATAGTCCGGGCCTCTACGCGCTCAACTCATTACGGTCAATAAAACAATGACCGACCATTGGAAGCGACGAACTGAAATTGCCCGCAAAGGTTTTTGACCTTTCGTGGCAATGATATAGTTGCGTATAGAAAATGTAACTGATATTGTGTCGTTTGCGTAGCCCGTTTGGAGGTGATAAGTGAAAGTACCATAATAAAAGACCGGCCGAGTGCGAATCGGATTCGCACGCATTCTGATTTTAGTATTACAGCAGTAACAGGAATAAATCACGGTTCATGAGTTAGAGTCTGGGAATGACCCTTTGACCTTTGGGTACGAAACCCTAAAAATGTATAAATCATATTATTTAGATTTTTAATCTGAAAAGAGCCAATTTCTTTATCTTTTTGGCATAACGTGGTCTATTTAGATGTGGGCGAAATCGATTCACTCGTGTGCTTTTGTAGAATTTTCCCATAGATTTACCACGATTTATTAGTTAGGTTGATTTTCGTAGAAGCACACGCCTCTACGAAAACAAACATAACCCGCGACAAACTCATGATAGTAAAAGAAATTATGTTTGCTACAATACAATATACAAGCTTAATTTTTATTAAAGATTATTTTCTTAGTTCTTACATTTTACTATTTTTCCACTGAACAGTTTACAGCCTTTGTTTTTCATATCCTTGATATCTCTTTCAAAATTATTAAATAAATACATAATATAATCATTGCTAGGTTTATCACTTTAACGTCGCAATTTATAAATTGTGTGTATGTAAACAATAAACCACATGTCATTTAGGTTGGCACTAAATACAATAAATGAATCAGACAATACAAGGCGATCAAACCACAAATTAATTTATATGTTATGGTACCGTAAACAGTACGTCAGGTTGTACAAAGCTGACAAATTGTTCCAAATAATTTTAAACCACAAAAGTTCATTTTGAAGTTAAAAATCGGTTAAGGGATTTTAGTATTTTATGATAATAATGTTGTGTATGAAACAGTGGCGTAACTATACGGTTTGAGGCCCGTGGCAAATTCATTTGACACTCTATTTTTTTTTACTAATCGTGTAATAATAAATGTCAGGAGTAAGAAGTCTCCTAAGACAGGGGGCCCCTTCCAGCTGGGGGCCCGTGGCATTTTGCCGATTTGCCACCCTGTAGTTACGTCACTGGTATGAAATACATTTTATACCTACTTCCTACCTAAGTGTTGATAACTCTTTAATAATAATTATTATAAAATGTTGAAATGTAATATAATGCTTGCACCATATGAAGTCGAAATTTTATGGGTGGCACTTTGTGTCAAGAGATGATTTTTTTAATGGTCATACTTACCTATAAGTTCATAAATACATGAAAACTAATTATGCAACAAAACTATGGTTCTTTTCAGAATCATTCCGTGCCTGCAGTGGAAATCTGCAACTGCTGCTTATCATAGGATTGATGGAGAAGATGGGCAAGGTTGAAGATACAAGGTTTCAATTGACAAGTTTTAAACTCGAGTGCATATGGAGACTTGACGACAATTTGTCATCCCATATTTCATGTGATGAAGTAGGCTTATTATATATAGTATATTTATAGTAAATTTTCTAGTCTGTTTTCATAGATTGTAAGTTAGCAATGTCCGTCAGTACGGCGATTCCAACCTTGTGGATTGTGTAATTAATTCTACATTTTTTTAGTGCGTCACCAATTTATCGGTCCAATAACCGGTTGTAGTTTCAGCCATATATATGAATCTTGCCGATATCAGATACAGTATTTAAAATTAGACCCGAATTTTGATTATTTTTTAAAAGGTTCCGTAACCGAGATGGGCGTATCTACTAGACATTGTAGCCGAACAGAGTATAAGAGTTCAAAATCCAAAGGCAAGTACTGTCATATTGATGGACACGAATTACAAAGGTTAGTGATATTTAAGTGATATATTGTTGGACGGTAGCGTAATGCCCTAGCTCTATTTGTTTACTTTGAGTTATTTATGGCGAATTTTCAAACCATAGTTCGGGTGCCAACGAGCTAAGTTGCATTTAAAATTATATTGGTAAAATTATGAATAAAACCAAAAGTATATTTATTTCTTATTTTAATTAAAGTAACCATTAACAACAAAAAGTTTAATCAAATCACTGTAGTTGGGATTGTCTTACAATCATTTGACCTCATTAAATCGAATTGTAACATTGCTTTTGATGCAATTACATACTATAATTTTGAACTAAACAATATCTATGGCATAGGATGATGTAAATCTATCTCTACTTATAATAATCATCACAGATTATAATATAAAACATACTCCAATTTGTACAGGAAATGAGTCTATAGGCAAAACTGCCTAAATAGTGTCTTATAATAAGATTTCTTAGAATAATTCTGCGGTTCACATTTGTTTTATACAAGGTTTGTATCTTTGTACAATAATTGAGATTCAACAAGCAAAGACAGATTGACAGTAAACGAAAATATTATATCTGACTTCCAAAAGACAGCTTGATAAACCTATGAGTAACAAAACTATTTTAAAATTTAAACTGAGCAACTTTAATTATTAAGACATCACAGTTTGCATTGTATTTAAAGGGCCGACTTTACTACAATTGCCCTACCTTAATGAAGATTTAACACCTGAACAAAAACGATAAACAAATGAAAAAATCTCAATAGCTCCTTAAATTACGAAAAATAGACTTATATTAAACAAACTTAAGTACAACAATGATGAATGGGGAACCAAAGGGTCTTATGCAATACGTAAAGGTAACCGGTAACATAGTCCTTAAAAATATCACCTTAAAATCTAAAATACCAATCGAACATTTGATGTTGCAGTCTTATATTGATGAAGTTGATGGTAGTTGACATAGTTACTGCGTAAGGGTTAGTTATGAATTAGAGTGTATTATAAATTGGTTAGGTAAAACATTCACTGGATTCACGGCATAAGCACCAATGATAACACGCACCACGTTGCACAAATTAAAAGGTCAAAACACCGAGTGTATGTATGGATACTTCAAAATGTCATTATCTCTCTACCATTCTTCGTCCGGCTCTTGACCTTGATCAACGGCAGATGTGGCGTTGTTGAAGTTCTGTAAACATAATGTAAAATAAAGCAAAACCGATATCAAGGAGACATTTAAAAAAAATTACAATTACCTCAAATGTATCAGTTCCCTTTGGTAGCATGTAAAAATATGATTCAAGTATTATCTTGATGCAAAAATAATCTATGAAGTTAATCTAAAAAGATCTATCTAAAATACTAACTGCGTTTTATTTATATTAGGTGTTCATAATTCATTGTCGGAGTTTGAATGAAAAGCGCAACTGTCTTGGTGCAATCAATAACTAATAAGTGATTTTTAAAACATTTTTTTGAGATACATTCAGGTAGTTTTCAAAGTTTCAATAATAATCAATAAGGTTATAGTAGCGAAATAGTTGTTATATCGAAAAACAATTGGATATTGGTGTGCAAAGAAACAAGAGACTGGTTAAACTGTTTTACACTTTTACTAAGGCAGTAAGTAGTTCTAAAGGGACAGTTATAATATTGAAAGAGAAACACAATTTTTTCAGTTATTTTCATCTCATGGTATATTAGTAACTTTTTGAATACTGACCCGCACGTCGCTGCCGCCATACTTGTTGCCCTTATACGTGGCTGGGCCGCCACCCTGCAGGAAATCTGGCACAGGTTGATCTGCTTGCCGTAATATCTTCGCCAGATCACCACTCAATGCTTCATCCTAAATATAACAATTAAATCTTTATAACAAAAAATGGAAAACACCTATAGAGATGGAAGAGATCCTTACAATTTAAGGTGATCATATTAGTAAATTGGTTGCCACCTGTTAATGTAATCTCTCTATTGTAAAGTCTCAAACTTTGTCATGTATCATTAAACATTAAGTGATAAATGAACGACCAAATAAACAAATCACTTAACATATAATATTATAAAGAGGAAAGATTTGATAGTTTGGTTGTTAGCAACATCAAATGGGGTAAGCATAAGCTATAATTTGAGCGTGCAAAGTCGCTAGTAAATTGCTTGTAGTGAAATAAAGGTAATCATCTCGCCTGATCTGAATCATAGAATGAGACTGCCATCCCTCTGTTCCCAACACGACCAGTCCTGCCGATTCTATGTACATACTCATCTATACTCTTAGGCAGGTCGTAATTCACAACAATGTCCACATTCTTAATATCTGAAAAACAAATAATTCACTTAATAAATGAATAAAAATTATCATCCAATATAAATAATTTCCGATGCATGTTATATGAAGAAATTTTGTGCCAGCACAAGAATCGAGAGTATTGTCAAAGAAAAGTGAACATCTAAAACTTAACCAGTTGAACCTTTCTCCCTTGTGATAAAACAGAAATTTACTTGTGTACTATGAAACCTGACATTATTACTAAACAATGTTCAATTTTCAGTTGACTTAATTTTAGACCTTATTGCTTAACTTTTAATGGCATGGAATGCGATATTAATGTTGTCAAACAAAACTGTTAAGTTTATGAAAATAAATGTCATCTTTATATATTTCATTAATAAATACAAAACAAAAATGGTACCACAAACATCCAAAACATCGTCTGTAGTGCCTCAGAAATAGTGAAATCATTCCAGCGATTAATTTTCACCTATAACAAGAACTATGCATAACTAAGATTTATAAGTATATATTACCAAGTCCTCTAGCTGCTACAGCTGTTGCTACTAAAATAAGATGACCGCCACTTTTGAAATTGTGTAAAGCTTCTTCCCTCTCTCGCTGCATTCTGTCTCCATGGATGGATGATGTGAGCTTCTGTTGTTCAGACAACATGGCTGCAATAAAGTCCGCGTTTCGCTTAGTCTCCACGAACACTAAAATCCGTTTGCCATCTGAAACAAAAAAAAAAATAACGGACTAGGATTCAGATTAAAATCTTAACACTATAACTAATTTAATCCATGGATTCAGAGTATTTATTCCAGTTTTTAGGAATGTAGCCTTTTGCCATTGCCATGGATGAGCGTTTTACTTGTATAAAAAGTTAATAAATTTCAATAACTTTGTTAGCTAAAGGACGTCGTAAAGGATTATGATAGCATTAGTTCCATAGCCTTTTTTATAGTACTCACCGTTTTCTTCAATTAGTTTTTTGAGCATCTTTTGCTTCTCGTACTTGCTGACTTCGTGGAAGATCTGTTCGACATCGGTGCTCGCACCACCCACGATGCCGACGGCGACGAACAAATAATTGTTCAAAAACCGACCCGCTAAATGCTGAATATCTTCAGGGAATGTGGCGGAGAACATGAGTGTTTGACGGTCAGACTGCAACATTATTTATTTGAATTGAAAAGCTTGAATAATTTAGTTATTTGAGAAGATTCACACTCGCTAAGGAATGCAACATTTATGAGATATAATAAAAAAAAAATAGTGATTAGAAAAAACTAGAATATACAATATACTTAAGTTTTAGGTCAATAGAGTATTTGATAACATTAAAAATATATAAAAAATTGTGGTCATCCTATATGATAATAGCGTTATAATAACACATTTCATTTTATATTAAACGAAATAATTTATTATTATTTACAAAAAATAAAATCAAATATTTTATGACATTTTATCAGAGACGAAAACGCCTTGTTAGTGGTTGCAATTCCAATGACGTCACACACTAGTAAATATGGCTTCCTGTTGACGACTTTAGTTTGATGAAGTTTGTTTATTTACTTGTGTATGACGCCATACGCGGCGTAATGAATGCATATGACAGACAGCGTTTTTTTTGCGCTGTTTCTGAAATTTAAGCTTTAACTATAATTTTTATTGAAATGTGCTTATTATGTAATAAATAACAATTTAAAACTATTTTTCATAATTAGTTAAAATACCCTAACGGCGAAGCAGTTACCCCATTAGCAAATGATTACCTACACATGTACTTTTTTATCACATACATTCTTTATTTATTTGGTATTAATCATAAAATAATTCGTCTACAAATAGCATAAAGTCCACTATTTGCAATTAAGATGAATGTAAAAATAAAGAGACAAAACTACACTAACCGGGGGCACCATGGTGGGGTGTTCCATCATTTTCTCCACGGCGGGCATGAAACCCATATCGAGCATCCGGTCAGCTTCGTCTAATATTACGAACCGGATACTATCGAATGATACTCGACTGCGCTCCACGAAGTCATGCAGGCGACCGGGCGTTGCCACAAGTATATGACAGCCCCTCTGTAATTAAGAGTATCCGTTAAGCAGTGTTTCCTATGGTCCTTATGCCCTCTTTCTTTGGTATTTCCATAAAAAAATGTGTTAAAGAATTTTTGCACCTTTATCTGTAATATTTGAGGTAATGTTACTTTAATTTCAACACAGTATTACTATTGCGTTATAATTCCTAGCATTAAGAATTCTATGGACTGTTACATTTGGACCGTGTTAGAAAAGCATTATAGTATGCGGTTATTACGTAAACATTAGAAGAATTGGCCTACTGTATACTCACAGCAATATTATCTCCTTGATGTCGCACAGCTGTCCCGCCGTACGCAACTGCTATCTTTAATATAGACCCGTATGCAAACTTTCTGGCCTCATTGAATATTTGAAGGGTCAATTCACGTGTTGGCGACACGATTACTACCTGTTGATAATATTCAATAAGAAGATATATATCAATAATAAGATTCAAGTAATATAATCAATATTAAACACATATTTAGTTATATAATGCATTAAAAGGTATAACTAATGGTTAAATTAATCAAATTTTAATTCTGTCTATGTTTTCAATTCTAAAATAACTATGGCATTAGAAGTTAAATTATATTATAGTATACAAGAGTATAATTATTAGGAGCATTTTATTACATACTAAGACATAAGGTTAAAAAGTAACACCTAAAATATTTTTAATAATTTCACATTTTGTTTTGGCACAAATATATTTCATACCTGTGGTTGTGCACATCCATTGGGCCCGACGACAAGCTCTCTGACATCTTGTAAGAGGACATTTATAATAGGAAGTAGGAAGGCCGCCTATAAAGAAAAATTGAACTTACTACATAGAAAATAAAAAACAGGACCTATTTACCTAAATTTATATTTGAACAATTTAAAACTGTCAATTTATTAAAATCAATGTTATTGTGAAAGAAAGAAGAAAGAAAGAAAATGTTTTTATTGGCCTTCACAATACATACAACAATTCAACACATATAACATTATAGAAAAAAAACAGCACAGAGATATAATGGAAGGCCAACCAGGTGGCTCTCTCAGTGATAGGGAGTTTTCGAAAATAAATAAACATTAAACAAGAAAGATTTCTCCATAATACCATTAAATAAATATTAATCTGTTTATTTATTAGATTGGTTAAAAATAAACATATACGATCGTAAAAGTGACCCTGTTAGTGTCATATCAGATTAACAACTGATATGTCATATTTATCTCGAGATAGTGAAAATATTTACAGTTTTTCCAGAGCCAGTCTGTGCGCAGCCCATGAGATCCCGCCCATTCATTATAATGGGTATAGCGTGCTTTTGTATAGGCGTCGGCTTCTTGTAGCCAGATTTTAGAATGTTGTCCAAAACATACTTCCGAAGATTCGCGCTCTCAAAACTGTCTACGGGCCGTGGTGGATTTTCGCCACTAACCTGTAAGAGATATTCAAAAATATGAAACTATAGGTCAAGAAAATTCTTGAATTAATCGTCTTTTTTTATCTTGAATTGAGAATATAATAAACCTTTTTGATGAGCAGACCACATTAAAAAGAGCTGCAGTTTAATTTATCCGTAGTGTAGCCAACAAACGAAATATAATTGAGACTGAAAAAAAATATGTAAATGCAAGCAAGATGAGCGTTAACTAATTTTACAAGTTAATAAAGAAATTAATGACTCCATCTTATGAAATATTAATGGAATCCCTTTGGGAATATACTCTTTTCGATGAAAACAGATATGTCAAAACCAGTCCACTATTAATGAAGACATTGTGAGACCATATATTAAAAGAGTATTAATAATACAAAATAAAAAAAAAATATTTGTCAATTAAAAATTAAAAACAATATGATATAGTTGCAGACAATTTTTAGTTATTAAAATCGTTTATTGTTAATTGTAATTGTGTAGGCGTATTATAATAATAACAATTAAAAAATCTCTTCACTTTTAAACTACCGCGCTGCATTATTACATACTGCACCGGCCGAAACGTCGGCGCAGGTCAGTGTAAAAATCGCATCTAATACCCGTTATTATAAGTATGTAATAACTACTCACTTTAACAGCAATGCAGTCAAATTTGTCGAAGTTGATGCCCGAACTAATAGTGCTACTGAATATTTCTGTCTCATCATTCGTCGGTTCCGGCGGGACGTATGTGACTGGTGGCTTCTTTGGCTCGCCATCCTCGCCGACTTCCTCTTCAGGGTTATCACCGTCGCGGTCACCTCTGTCGCCTCTATCGCCACCGCCACCGCGTCCACCCCCGCGACCCCCCCGCCCTCTACCTCTGCCCCTTTCACCCCTGTCGCCCCTATCTTTGTCATCGTAACTGTCACCTAATAATAGGAGTCGAGATGAGAATAAATGGTTTTTCTTCATTGACTCAACACTAAGTCTACAGTATTACCCATGTCTTTAATTTATGTATAAATAAAAAAGCGAATAAATTGGACTCTCGCTCACTATTGCTCAGATTCTAAGAAGAGTAGCTAAAGCCTATTATGGAGTATCTGAGACAACGAAGGTACCACAACACGCAGACCCGAGTCAATATAGAAAAAAATATTTTCTACATTGACCCAACCGGGAACTGAACCCGGGATTTCACAAATGTAGATATTTTGAAACTGGCGGGCGTACCACTCAGTAACGATCACTTATCAGTTTTTGATTAGTATACATCTAAATAACAATTTGTTTTATTATCCCCTTATTTTTTCGGATGAGATAATTAAAGATCCAGTAGCCTCGTAAAGTATTGATAATGAGTGAATTATTATTATTATCAGAAAACACGTAAAAATAATGTTATAAAAAAGAAAAAACAAAAAGTTTATAATCAGACTATTATTTAAGCAAGAATGTTAGCTAGTCAATTACATAATACAGAAAAAGTGTTCATGAAGCATGCAGAGGCATTGCTGTGATTTTTTGCAGTACATTATGTCTGTAAAGTTATGTGATTGGGTAAAAAAAAGGTAAAAAACCACACAACAGTTACAGTACAATAAAAGATTGCGATTCACACTTATGTTACTGATAACCAAAAGCAATAGAACTAATTGACAACACTCAAACAAAATTACTTATTATATGTCTACCTCTTCCTTTCCTAACAATTTTTCCTGAAAAATAAAAAGAAAATAATTTATACTAACACCATAAGAGGTAAAGCATATACGATCATAAAACTTGTTTGATTGTATGAGGGTAACCTTTGGAAATATTGAAACATTTTTTTTCACCTAGATGTAAGGATATGAAAGCTATATTATACTTGGGCGAAAGGCTAAATCACACGGGCAATTCGTGGCAAAGCAGTGAGTAACTAAATATGAGACTACTGTATGTAGTTACTGAAATCTCTAACAAAGTATCTAAATGCTTTGCTAAGTAAAACTAAAATAACGAAGATACCACAACACCAAACTATTTTGTACGCTTGACCCAACCCGGATTCGAACCCGATACGCAATGATTATGTGCAGTTGCACATTTGTGTAAGCATAGCAACGCAAAACATTCGACGACTGTATTTTTAACTTAAATGCAGCCCATCATACCTCAGAGATAGCGATACTGTGAAACCGATATCACAGCCACTCAAACATGATAAACAGCGATATGAGTTGACTATTGGTTTTGTATCAAGAAATATCGTCAAATAATAAAAGAAACCAAAAATATTAAATTACTTCCTACAAAACAATGTTTTCTCTTATTATATACATAAATATACTTAAAATTCTTATAGAAACGATAAATTTGTGTATTACTTTGTAACAGACAGCTATATGCAAAACTGTAATGGTTTGCGAGTATAATTAAAGAGTTTTCTTAAACGCAATTCGTGATCCTCTGTACATATGTAACCTCATTGGCGGCTGCAATAAGATTACTACTGAGTCTTTTCTGTTTAAGTTTATAAAGATGTAAAGGTTCTAAAGGAGACTGCGTTTATCCGTACCATACTGCGTCACAAGCACACCATTACCAAAAAATATATTTTATTTATATGTATTCACTGGTTTTTAAGCTATATTTTTAACCGTATTAAAAGTAAAACAATTGAACTTGCTTTCATAAACTAACAATGATCTTAATATCTGCCGCAGCCGACTGGTTAAAATTTCCGTTCAATTGTACGGCTAGTTTTCTAGTTCAATCATTATGACTGTTTGATTTGGACTGTTCAATAAGATGGCTGATTTAAAAGCCATTTAAGACGATTAAAATAACTTTGTTGTTATTAACTGTTATAACACCAAATTTCGGAATCGTATAAACGTATAATGAGATTCTCATTTAATTGATATGATTTCTAGAAAATAAAACTTAATTGCGTTGCTCTGAAAGATAATTGTTTCAATAGACAACTCTCTTTCAGAGCAACAAACATTTACAATAATTTATAAATCTTATAGCTAAAAATCTTAGCTGAAAGAGAAACTACATTTAATGGTATTACTTTACTAACCCCTTTTATATTTACTATATAAAACTTATACATACTATAATTCTCATTTCACAACAAACAAATACCACAACGTAAACCTCAAAACGTCAATACACGCGCACGGTAGTTTAAATAAAGTACTCTTTATTTACAAACATACGCAGTCAAATACACTGCTTACTCTGTGGCCGTCTGAATCGCGGTATATCTTGTCTTTGTATAATTGTATTCATATTAAGAATTTATTATGAAAGTTTAAGTTTAACCCACTTGCGTAATGGGTTTGTACTTTAGCTTCCTGTCTTGGATCATATGGACCATTAACATCCAGTCGCGAATAAACAGTTTAGATCAGTCGTGTATCTGTATTGATTACAGACCGACAATATTTACTATGTTTTACTTCTAATTCTACTATAAATTATGGTAGGTATAGTCGTAGGTAATTAGTTAGCTGGCTTTTGTTCAGCCGTATTGTAGAACGTTGGTTAGCTTATTATACCACTTGGCGCAATACACTTTTCACTGGACTTTTATGTCGTTTGATCGACGTGTTTGCTACATTAGTGTCGTACTACTACATATTTTTAATGAATTAAAAATTAAAAAATAGTAGTACGACTCAAATATAGCAAATCTCTATACGCCACAATACACTATTTATTAAATAGTTATGTATTGTGGCGTATAGAGATAGTTCCTCTGAAGTGATTTGTGGTGTTGAGATAGTAATTCTTTTTGGAATATGCTGGTCGGCGTTTATGGTGTCTCGTTATTTATAAAAAAAATAATATAAAAGTTGAGTTGAGTGTTATCACGCAAGTGAAGTTATCTATGTCGTGCAAATTTACTTCATAAGTGCGGATTTAAACGCATTTCTATATGATAATCAGTCATTAAATATCAATAAAAATACGTGGACTCTTTATTTGGGTTGTAGTAAGATGTTACAAATACTTGTACAAAAAAAAGGGAATCCTCCTTTTATTTTGTTTGTAAGTGAAAATACAAAAAGTATTAAAATTCTTTCACCTATAGGCGAAGTCGCGGATCGACAGCTAGTATTTAACACGAGAAGCATGTATTTAAATAATAAATATTGTTTACTATAATCTTATTTATTTAATATGTTTTAATAATAAAATAATTCACTAATACCCTCCTACATTAATATTATTTTGGTACAAGTTAACCAGTCAAAATAATACGTGAAAAAACAATTACTTCAGCAAATTAAAAACTTATGGTCAGCTTTTTCGAAAAGTCCAGTGAAGGGAATAGATTACCATGCATTATCAATAAAAATGTTTAACAGTAATAAGCAAATATGTGACACAGTGGTAAGTAACCATGATCGGTAGGCTATTAAGACTCATCTTCATCATCAGTTAGATGTGTTTAAAAAAGATAACAAAATAAGTAACCAGTCCCAGGTAAATTCGCAGTCATTCATAAACATCAACTTCTATGTTATTTAGATAAAAAAAAGGTATTTCAAAAACAAAAATGAAGCAATATTTCTCCTAAAGAAAAAGTATTAGTCAACTTTTTAAAGTGACTGTTAGTTATCAGATACATTTAGTATTACACTGCAGATAAAAAAAATTAAAAATAAAAACTATCATCAAATTAGAACACTATATTTGGTAACAGCCACCTGAAAAATATATATTTAACTCATCAAATCAACATGACATCTGATGGTCTATTTTGTCTTTAAATGGAAAAAAGATTAATTCATTTCTTTTGGGCATATTAGCAATTCTTAAATAGACAAATTTTAGTTTTCAGAGCAATAGAATAGACCTTCATGTGCCAAGTTAATTTGTATGAGTAATAGTTAAAATTCAATGGCTCACCATTTGTTTCATAGTCTGGTCGACTGCCCCCTCGACCACCTCGTCCCCCGCGTCCACGGCCACCCCCCCTCCCTCCTCGACCCCGCCTATCACCAAAGCTGTTACTTACATCCTTCTCAAAGTCTGAAACGATATTTTAAGATTAATCAATATATCATTACAGGTAATTTACAAGTTGATAAGAGTATTTTATCTCTTAGACAGCTCTGTATAATAAAATCTTTTTACAGAGCACCTAATTTTTTATAATGGCGAAAAGAATTACTAAACAACATTATTTAGAGGCAAATTAATATCATTTCAAATGTTTTGAGTTAATAAGCGTGACATTTGTTCTCAGAAAAAGAAAGGTTATTTAAGTTGAATATAGATAAGTGCAGAGGCACTTGAGATAAATATCACAGAATGAAGAATGTCAAGTGTGTTGAAAAAAATGCTGTGAAGTACTTAAAACATGTTGAATTGAAATAACAAGAACAGAATTTTTATTGTATTATCATTATTATATATTTAATCTACACTCTTTGGTTTTAACTAATATTATAAATATAGTGAAATTTCCAGCTTTATTTGTAAGAGATAATATTTAGTAATACTCATCACATTGTAATTTTCACCTGAGCAACACAATACCCAGTAGGTATAGGCCACAATTTATGTGAGCTAGCTTATTGGAAATGACCAGTATGATATAAATCAAGGTTTATAATAAAATGTATACCATTGTCCTCAAATGACTGAAAACCTCTGCCTCGAGACAAACTGTGACCAGCATCAATCGTTGAATCTTCATAGCTATTGAAGGTTGTAGTCGGAGGAGGCACTACCTACAAATAAAGATATAGATATTCCTCATGTTTAATTCATCACCACTAACCAACCATAAATCTATGGAATACATTATTTTACGTTAACTTCTAAAAATACAAAGCATTATGCTTACCATCTCAGAAGCGTCATCCCATTCATCATCCATTTTCTGAAAAAAAAGTTGGTCTCATGATATTACACACAACTCTTATACAAAATGTATATAATATACAGGAACTAAACACGTTTAAGACCTGATAATTAATTGTTAGACATGTTTTCAAGGACAAGAAATGATTTATACTGAACGAAGCATCTACCTTCAGTAGGTAACTGCAAATATACAGACCAAGCGGTGTTGAGAAGACCAATTATAATTTACATTTAATTTAATATCCAGATAAAGTGAGTCTACAACCATACAACTAAAGCTTTAGATTCATAATAAATCATGAAAAATTACAATTTAACCGTCAAACCAAACACCGGTTTACTTCTCTCAAATCATATCCTACACGTGTTTTATAATAACTTAGAAAATTACAATTTAATGGATAAAAATCTAAAAACATGAAAGAAACTTACATGTGATTTATGAGATTAAGAGTTTTATTGCGTCGTCCGTAGTTTACAGGATCAAATAAAAAAAGTTCAAAGACAATGTCTAATTTACAATGGCGGCACCGAATTGGCAGGCAACATATTGCAACAAACTTTAGGGTTTTTTGGCAATTTTGGCAATGAGAGTAGGATCATAGACAGTAGTAGGAGTATGTTTCGTTATTTGGTATAAGCGAAGGCACTTAACTATACTGCCCAACATCGTAGACAATATGATTAGGGCCCTAGATTACGGGTACAACATGTAGCGTAGACACGCAGGGCGTCCTGTTCACGATGCACTATACGAAACCCCAAGCTAGACGCTAATATATAAATATATGTAAGCGAACATATAAATGATGAGAACATATAGACGCAGTCAACTATTAGGGAATATGCGTCTGATTCAAAAAAGGGTTAAATATATTTTATTACAATCGTTATTGCTTTAGAATAAAGTCTATCTAAATGTTTTTCAATATTTGTTAGTTTTCGTCTTAAAAATAATTATTAAAAAAGTGCAAAACAAATGCGGCAACTTCAAAAGATTTAAACGCCATGCTACTTGTCAGAGCGGATGTGACGAAAATGTACACGTATAGGGATGTCGTTGTTACAAAAAATTAACATCAATGCAATAACATCAAAGTATTAAGTCGCAAAATAAACAACAGATTACAATTTAAATGATGTTTTAGGCTTTTATTTTTATTTCACCAATTTGGTAAATTATATGATTTATTAAAAACGTCTATTATACTTTAAAAAATCGATTAGTTGTTAATCGATTTGGGTAATTGAATAATAATCAATCACTCAAAATCCATATTGATTTAAAATGTCATATCTCTAGTAGTGTACTTTGACGTCACGACAAGAGAGGCAAAAATTCCGGTGTTTAAACTACTCGTAGCTATTACTTATTTTCATCAATGATTAATGTTACAAAATTTTAGTTTTTCGGTGCCGGGTATTTTTTTACAGTTATATATCGATGTTAATTATCATATAAAACCATTTTCAAAAAATGTGCATAGGGTTCTACAAGAAGTAGGACATTAGATGTTTACCTTGTCTTGTTACATTTAAAGTGGCGAATAATGAAAACAAACAACTCACCGAAACTGTTTATGGAGTTCTCACAATGATTAAACGACGAAAGGCAACCGAAAACATTTCTTAGGTTGGATTATCACTTATAACACAAAATGTTTAATGAAACATTAGAGAAATATACAATAAAATCACAGTTTTCAAGAAAATAATATATTCCAAACTATCAATTATTGTGTCACTGACAGTTAAAAAAAAATTAGCTATTGATGAGAACATATAAATGAGTGATTCAAAGAGCAACTCAGTCGGACATATTGAAAAAGTTGATAAAAATTTTGTAGTAAATAAATGTAATAATGTATATAGCGTAAAAAGATCAGAAAACTAGGAAAAAAAAGAAGTTTGAATGAAATAATAATGTAAAAATTTAAATTCAACAATTTATTTTACATCAACGTAGCAATTGTCCCTATAAAAATCTACTGAACTGTAATATTTTCTACAATTTCGTTCAATTTTATTACTCGTTCAAGCAGGTTTGCCAACTATACGATAATATATAGCATTGTACTATAATATCTGTGTTATACTTATCATTCGTTTCTCCCTTATGTTCGAATGATGTGTCTCGGGTGCTCTTTAGTTACTGTGTTTGATTCTTACGATGACTTGGCCTTGGACTTCCATTACTGTTTGCTTCTTTATTTGGATAGTGTCCTTTATTGGATCGATGATTTCTTCAAGGCCCCACGGACTCTGATAATTCTTAATTAAAAGTGCTTATTTTTGAATTGAAAAAGTTCAAGGATCTGATATTTACAAGACAATTTCGTAATCAGTAAGGTAAAATTTTACATACTTATTATTTTTATAAGATGTATCAAACAAAATACTTTCTGAGTGAACATCTTTTTACAGTTTATTTCTTGTACTATATGTTTGAAATTACATTTATTAATTAATGAAACCAAATCATATTGAGAGTGTTGTTTACTTTTTTTTGTTTTATACCAAAGATGACTACCGCAGTGAAATGGACGCTCATAATTTTGAGCAATGGAAACCTAATTTTTATTTAGTCTCTAGTCTTATAAGCGCGAAAATGTAGAATATGTTCTCGTGAAAAATAAAAATATTTTTGATTTATGTATATGTATTTCTGAATGAATATTTTCTTTAGTCTTAATTCCAAAGTCTTCGTGGATGAAGTCATAGGTAGATGATAGTTGAGAAAAGATGTAGCATTTTATAATATTAACGTTGTTTGGAGACGTAAAATATAACCTTAATATGATTTCATTTTTAGTAACTTAAATAATGGTATAACTTATTAAAAAGTTGTTCACTTTTCACTTTGAAATAATGTAATATTTAATTTTGTTTACAGGTTTAAGAAAATCTTGAATAAGTTAGAACCGGGGTCAGTAGTCGTGATAGATAATGCTCCCAACCATTCCAGAAATATTGATCGTCTGCGTAATATGAGTTGGAGGAGATATACAAGAGTGGCTGCGTGAAAAAGAAATCGAGTTTGAATTTTGTGCCTTCCTCTATCTCACTGTGCTTAACCCTATTGAACTCATATGGGCGCAGCCCAAATTTTAGTGGGGAGAAAGAACAAAACTTTTAAAATGCAGAGGTCAAAAAACTGGTAGAAGAAGGATTAAAAAATATTGGTGTGCAAGCATGCAGGAAATGCATCCAACATGTAATTTAGGAGGCGAAAAAATGATGAAGTTGGATGGTCAAATATACAACATGATAGATGAAATAGCCCCGGCATTTTAAATCTATGTGTATGAAACGGAAACAGAATCTCCAGTAGACGAGATAAGTGAAAGTACCTTAAAAATTCATACGGAGAGTTCAGAGGTAAAATGCGTTGCAATATTTTAAAAACTTTATCGAAGGGCGTTTCAAAGTTTAAATATTTGGGAGGAAAAGCATATCAAAAAGTGGTTATTTTTTATAAAAAACGAATTATTTTTTATAATAAAATCTTTACAATGTTATCGATTTTTAATTTTTCTAAAGATTTACTGTAAAAAACTAAGATCAAACGAAGTAAAATACATTACAACTTAATATTCACCAGGAGTTCGCTTCATAATTATTTCCCATGAACCCTCATTTTAAATTAATATGTAGTATATAATGAGAAAGTATTTTCTTGATGGTACATTCTTGATTTCTCCATGACAACCCTTCCGGTTTTCTTTCATGATTAAAAGTAAATTAGTTTTCAAAACTCAATAAACAACTCATATTCTATTTGTACTTTTTCTTAATTGTATTGATATATAAGTCGCGAAATTTTCAAATTTCAGTTTTTGAATATGTTAACTAACATATAAAAGGCACGGAAATTACTGTCTTTGGTCCATCTGTTTCCTGCAAAAATCAACTTTTGCTAGAGTCGTCACCTAGTGGAAGTACTTTTATAGTACTTTCGTTTTTTTTTTTTAAATTCTGCCTCATTAAATAAACTTATCCAGTTGTCATACTAATACACGGATTTTTTAGAATCTAATAACACGCATTTTATTATATTGTATAATCTTATACTACTCTGAGAATAGTCACTGAATGACATGAGATAGTTCAATCAATCAAATTCGTCATATCCCATGTCCCATTACTAAAACTGTCATGTCGCCATATTTGTTTACATTTTGTGCCAGTTTAAATGAAACAAGGTATATGTTAGTGCATACAGAGAGACCCTATAAATGTTAAAATTTTATTTCATTTTTACGAACAAAACATTTAAATTAAGTTATATATGTGGCAAAGGAACGAATATGCCCTCTTTGATCCCTTTTGTAATAAAAATATTTTAAGGTATTCACTGCTATCTAGTGAAATACTAATAAATTAAGTTGATTTTTTTATTCCTTATTAAAAAAAAAGGTTCTCTTTTTGTGATGTTGGTACTTTCCACAGAGTATTATATACTCTCTGTATATATCCATCTCTTTTGATTGTTTGCCGTTAGAGTGAAATGGAAATATTTGTAATTTTTGAGTCGCAGCAGCAGTCAGAAACATCAAAAAAATGTACGAGGTGTTGATGATAGTGGCAGTGTTGTGATTTTGTGAGATTAGTTTATAATTTTATTGACATATAGAGAAATTGCTAAGTATTAATTTTGTCACTAAAATGTTCGAAGACTATAATATGTGCGAATTTGTCTCAAACTTATCAAGGTGAAATAGGCTTTTTTTATTGGCGTCCCCCTTGTGTTTTATATGGTTCAGCTTGCGATGGCTTCAAGTGAGGGGACGATCACTGTATCAGTGGTAACTGAACGTACTCCCATCACCATAGATTGCCCTGCAAGTTCATTTACAGCAGAAGAATTATGTATTTATTTATGCAAGAAGTACAACATACCACCAATAACTCGGACGCTATTTGCATTGAGGATCAAAGGAACTCGTTTTTTTCTAAAAGATAACAGTGAAGTTCTGTCAGGATCAAGAGACTATGAATTCAGAATTCGTTTCAAGGTAAGTTTTGAATTATTTATTATATCTATAATGATAAATACCAAACTCAAAGACATTCTCATACATAATGTATAAGCCTACTTTGTTCACCAGTAATTTATTTTCAAATAAATGCACTTTCTTAGAAGGTTTTATTTAGGTTTTGTTAGGACTATTGTTATCTTTATTACCTTTCTAGTGATGCCTTATCTGTTACTGCTGAAGATAAATTAAATTTTAATTATTTCTTTTATTATAATATGTTTATCACAAAAACTTAAAAATCTGTGATAGTTGAATGTCCCTTTTGATTTGTACTTACTTTAATTAACCAGTAGTAAGCTTTATTCATAGCTTATCAGCACATTCATATCAGCGCTTCGGTTATATATTTTTGTACTTTAAAACAATCTCAAATTAAAATTCAGTCAAAAGTAAGAGAGTAAGAGTCAGCACTATTATGATAATGTTATTCATCTATAACAACATATAAAAAACAAGATTTCTGCCAGTGTGGTCCTTATGGAACTGTTTATTTAGATATTGATTCATATCATTACATGTATATAATAAAAATGAAATTTTCACTTCCATTTTCATGCCTTTATTTGATCGGCTGTTTTGCCATTTGCAGGATAATATAGTCTATGTTCACTGCATATGATGTATCTTCCTATAGGTGAAAGAAATTTTAAAATTGCTCCAGTTGTTTCAGAGCCTATTCGATTTGAAACATACAGAGAAACAAACAAATAGTTCCTCTTATAATGTTAGTATATATATATATATATATTTATACAGGAACTGCCATATCACACAACAAGATTAACAGAAAATTTAGATTGTTTATAATATTGTTTTAATAAGTATATATAATTTTCAACATTTGTTTTTCAAAATATTTTAAAAACTTATAGGTTCCTCGGCTTGGGTTGTTGATGTCGTTAGATGAAACAACCTTTGATTATTACTTTCAACAAGCAAGAGTTGACATCAATGACAACAAAGTTGCAGAGATCAAGTATCCTGACCATAAACAAGAACTTTTAGGGCTTGGTATTACAGATATGTAAGTTCCCTTTCAAAATCATAATGCTATTAAATCAACATGATAAAACGGTAAGGTGTATGTTGTAAGTTTAGTAATTTATTGCATCATCTCATTATTTAATATATTTATTAAAATATTATTTACATAATTATTATGATGTATTAGTTTTAGTCTGAAAATAAAGATTTGTATGTGCACTTTTATCTTGATCATATACTAATAAAGATGAGAATACAATTCAGGCTTTCAATCCTGCTAGGTGCATACCTTCAATTTAGGTATTTGACAATTTAGGTTGACTATTTAGTATCCTGTGGGACTTAGGTATTAGCAGTATTTCAGTATATGCAGGTTCCTAGTAATAGTGGAATTTTGGTATATGTATAAGATTCCCTTATTATATATTCTATACTGCTTGCAAATTTATTTTTTATCTATTTTCCTTCAGGTTATAATATACTGTAATCACTATAACTACACTCATTAACATAGACTATAATTATTCTCCTTGAATCTCTGGGTCCTTCAGACTTTGGTATGTGTCCTATCTTAAGAACAATATATGCTCTATTGAAATAGGTAAAGTTGGTTATGGATGTACAATATCAAACTTAATTAGTATTATCCTCCAGCTGTTTTTAATCTGTCTTTTTTTGCAGTTTGACTTTAAAAAAGAAGGAAGTTTCTATTCAATAGTCTTTTTATGCATCTGGTTTTTGAGTTGTGCAATTAATCCGAATTGAGAGGATAAAGATGTCTGCAATGTTTTGACCAATTTCTACCAACATATAAAACAACTAGATGTTTCCTGTGACTGCGCCCTCGTAAATTATAGAGTATGATGTAGCTTCTCAATGAAATTAATTCCAAAGAAATTCCCTACAAACAAACAAAATTAATGTGTACAGTACATGTTAGTAGGTTATCGTTAAGTATCCTCTAGTCTAATGCCACCTGGACCCCTCTACGGGTGAAGGCCTCCTCCAGAGATTGCCACTTAACGCGTTTTTTTGCCAGAATTGGCCAATTTCTTGTACCGAATGATTCTATTTCGTCCTTACATCTCGCTTTTGGTCAGCCTCTGCTTCTATATCCATGGGGACCACTCCACATAGTCGCAGTCTTTGTCCACCTCTTATCAGTGTAGCGTGCCACGTGGCCCGCCCACCTCCATTTCAGGCCACGAGCGAAGGACAAGACAGCTATCACACCAGTCTGCTTTCTTATTTCCCATGGCGAACCCTGTCCTTTAGCTTGATGTTTAGTGAACTACGTTCTAAGCCTCTTTGACACGATGTGAGTTTTCTTCTGGTTATGTTATCAAATATCCACGTTTGACATCCATAAGCGAGACAGGGCAAGAGACATGAGTCCATTACTTTCTTTTTTAATTTTAAGTCCATGTTAGACTTATAACTTCTTTGTAGCTCCAGAACTTTCTCCACGTGATTGCTATTCGCCTGTCTATTTCTTCTCTGTTGTTATTTTTGCAAAAGGAAACTTGTTTGCCTAGATAAATATATTCGTCTACATACTCAACCACATTATTGTTTATAAGAACAGGAGTTCTGTGATGATTAGACATGATTTTTGTTTTTGAGATATTCATTTCTAGGCCCACGCTCGTGCTTGCGTTGTTAAGTTCTGACATCATGGATTGGAGCTCTGTGGGGCTTTCTGAGAAAAGCACAATGTCGTCTGCGAAACATAGATGGTGAAGACGTTCCCTGTCGATTTTTAAGCCTTTGTTTTCCCAAGATAGATTTTTCATTGTGTTTTGGAGGACTGATATGAATAATTTAGGTGACAGTGGATCGCCTTGTCTAACTCCTCTGTTAATTTCTATTCTTTGTCCTGAATTTTCTAACTTGACTTTGTTAGTACTGTTTTCGTAGATGTGTTTGATGATTCTGATGTATTTAGTGTTTATATTTTGATCATAAAGGGCATTCCAAATGCTTCGATGAGATATAGAGTCAAATGCCTTCTTATAGTCAATGAAAGCTAGATATAATGGTCTGCGAAATTCATAATATTTTTCAATTATTTGCTCTAATACTTGTATGTGGTCTATTGTGCTGAACGATTTTCTAAACCCTGCTTGTTCTTTTGGTTGGTAGTTTTCTATGTCATTGTTGAGTCTTTCCAGTAGGCAACTAGCGAAAAGTTTATATAAACATGGCATTATACTTATGGGCCTGTAATTTTCCACGTCTGTGGGGTCGCCCTTTTTATACATCAGTATTATTTCTGACTCAGTCCATGTCTTCGGAACAGTTTCTTCATCAAGAATTTTGTTAAATAATCTCGTTAAGGGGTTAAGAATCACTGGTTTTGCTAGTTTTATAGCTTCGTTTGATATCCCGTCGGTGCCTTGGCTTTTGTGCTCTTTTAATTTCTCCAATTTACTTAATATGTCGATCTCTTTAAAGTACGGCGTTTCTTCTTTTTGATTTAGTCTAGGTGTAATTAAAGTTTCTATATCTTCGTGGTATAAGTCTTTAGAGGCGCTATATAACCGTCTGTAGAATTCTGTGGCGGTGTTGATCACATCTGTCCTAGTTTGTTGTTTTGGAGAGTTCGCATTTAGTGTTGGAATCCATTCCTTTCCTGTATTTAGTTCTTTAATTGCCTTTTTTAGACTACCGGAAGATTTTAGATGTCTCGTAAATATTGATTCCCTATGATCTTTAATTTCTTTTTATCTCTTTGTTGGTTGTTTTGAATAGATAGGTAAGTCTAGCTTTTTCATCCTGACTTAGGTGTTGCTTGTGTAGTAGTTGACTTCTCTCTTTCATTAGGTTTAACGTGTATTCTGAAAGTATATTTGGTTTTCGACGTTGACTGTAGCCTTTTTGTTTATTTAGGCAAGTTTTAATTATGGTTTCAATTTTTTTGTAATATGTGTTGACATCTAGACTTTCATTTCCTTTTTCGAAAAGGTCAGGTGCAGCGTTTTTTAAGTTAGCAATATATTCTGATCTGTCTTCTAATGTCTTTAGTTGATTTTTCGGATTAGTGAAATTTTTCCTACTTAATTTCGGGGCTTTTAATTTGAATGAGCCTCTTAGCATCTTGTGGTCTGTTGGGAAGCCGGTGGATATAGTTTCAAAATTTGTAAATGAGCCAGGAGAATTTGATAAGATAAAATCAATCTCATTTTTTGTTTTCTTGTCGGGAGAAAGCCATGTCCATTTTTTCTTCTTATTTTTCTTAAATAAGGTGTTGATTATAGTTAGATTTTGTTCATAAGCGTAATGAAGTAGTCTTACTCCTCGTTTGTTCCTGGTTCCATACCCAAATTTCCCAGTAATCAGCGATTCTTCCTTTTTTGGTGTGCCAATTCTAGCATTAAAATCTCCCATGCAAATCACATTCTTTCCTGCTAATTCATGGGCTAGCTGAACTTCCTGGTAAAATTTTTCCACTTCGTCTTCGCTAGCTTTTTCTGTTGGAGCATAGACTTGTATGAGAGTAAGATTATAATCATCAAATTTTAGTTGTAGTAAACATACTCTTTCTGATATTCCTGTGTAGTTTTCGATGTTGTGTTTAAGCTTTGTTTTTATTAGAAATCCGACACCGTATAGGCCTGGAGTTTGACCTGTAGTACATAAGATATGATCTTCATCTTCTGTAATTTTTGTTCCTAAACGTCGTACTTCAGCTAATCCTATTATGTCGTATTTAATATTTTGCATTGTTTCTTTCAGTTCAAGGAGTTTTTCTTTCGTGCCTAATGTCTTGACATTGTATGTGCAAATAAGTAATGCGTTAGTGTTGTGTTTTGACAATATATTTTGGACTTTTGGTTCTCTAGAGGGTTATAGTCGCTTAGCCCCACGGTGACTAGCCGGCTTGGGGTGCAGTTTTTTTGAGTTGGTTCTGTTATAGTTGCAATTTTGTTGTTGTATCGGTTCCGGGCGTTGTCGGTAGTTAGTTTTTTGAAAGGCCGGATAATGAGGCTGATCTAGTACGCTCAACATAGTTCAGTATTCCCGGTTTCGCTATTGTGTTTGTACTCGTTTTGGTAGGCTGCGGTGCTGATTTGGTTTGTGTGGTAGTTTTCTTTTGTTGTGACTCGTTTGGTGAACTGGACTCCTCTCTTTTTCTTTTGTCTCGGCTTGTCTCTGAGTGTGTTTTCACCACAAGTTTATCATATTTTATGAAACTTTACCTCTTTTTAATATTAGTATAGATTTGCTCAAAAAATTTGGTTAATATCTGCTTTGATTGTTAAGGCATATTCTTAAGTTCTTCAAATTTAGTTAGGGATGACGACTGGGTAAAAAAAAAGATATAATAACAGGCATCAAAGTTGAGGAGAGTGGGCTCGTTACATCACAGTTGTCTAGAAAATGTACCAAAGCGTAACATCACGAGACATTTTAACTCAATATATCGCCGTAATTTAATGATTACGAAAAAATAAAAAAGTATGTGTTTATCTTTCAACAATCTACCTGATGGGCAAATAAACAAAACTTAGTTGTCATGCCTATTGAAGACATTTACACTATTTTCATTTTCAGGTGTCGAGCGATCACAGAAGAGAAGTTGTCTATGAATGAAGTGGTGAGAAATTGCAAAAAATATATACCGAAAATAATAAATAAACGTCATGGGCCTTTTCCTAGGCGTCATGCAAATTACCTTCTTCCAAAGTTGTTTGAGATGCATTATAGTATTAAGTAAGTATAGAATGACATGTGACAGATATTGTCTTTATTGTATCATTATTATATCATAGTAATAGTTTTGTTTTTAAAATAGTAATAAGAAACTTATAATAGTTGTATATAAGTCATTAATATATAACATCATTCCAATGTGACTTAGTAGTTGTGTAGTATTTTGTCATTTTTAGAGTAAAAATAACAATGCATTAGTCACATTTCTAAGATATTATAAGTGTTATAAGAAAATAGTATTTTTTCTACTTATCCCCACTAGTTATGTAATCATACTAATAGTGGATTTTTGTAAAAATATTTTTAATGATGATGACTCGATATGCGCATCAAAGATCCAGCTATCATAAACATGGATCATGCGTTCTGTTGCGTTTGGTGTGGATGGCCGCAATTGAATATACAGTACAAGCGCCAGTTAATACTGGAAGTATACGCTCCAAATAGCATCTTGGACCTCGCGATCCAACATTCACACCGATCGCGTTGGTTAGCCTTAGTTCGCTCGATGCGGATCCGGCTAATTTATGATTACTTAGAACTTATTGACGATTCGCAAGTCTACCACATTTCTCGATTGGCTTCTACTTGATAAGCATTGGGTTGAATGAAATACACTTAAGCAGTATTCAAAATAATGAATACTACTGCGTTAGTTGTGTATCAACAATTTTACACGATAGCTCCAATTGTATTGGACATTCAGTGCATTTGACTCAAGCCAATTGGTAGGGATCATAGACTTACTTTTCTTATAATGTTGAGATTACTTGTGGGGATTTATGGAAAATCAATCAGGACAGTTTGTTATGTTAGTCTTATAATGTTTGGTATAAACATTATAAGACCAACATAACAAACTTGGCAACACTTGTTTTATCAATTAGTTTTTATAGAATGACAATGGTTTTGCAGTTATTTGAAGGATAAATACATGGTGCAACTATACGGCCTAGCTCCCAACTACTTGGCTGAAGAGTACGACAACATATTGTGGGTGAATGGCGATACTATCACACCGGTGCGTCTCATGGTGGCGCCGTTTCATACACAACAACCCGGTATACGACTTTACGATACCAATAAAAGAGAGGTAAGATAAGTACTGTTTTACATTTTTGGAACATGTACCTTATATCTATAAGGACCGCGACGCAGAGATGGCAACAGCCTGCAGCGGTTTTCATGCACTTTCAGCATTACAGTATTTTAAAATCATCTTCTTTCTTGAAAAACCAGTATCTTCTCTGTAACCCAGTTTAGGGTGCCGCGGGCAGTGCTTCCCACCATAATCACAACATTTCCTTGTTTCTTTTATTTCTTCTATTAAAACAGTGCTTAAATAACAAATACCATCGTTTTAATTACAAACATGCTATGTTTCTACCTGAATGTAGAAATTGAATTTGTAAAGAGGAGATTATGTGAGTGGTGTCGGAACGTGTAGGCCGACTTTTCCGTATTCGTCGCTCCGCTTCTGATCCTAACTAATTGACTAGCCAAAAATCACGATGAACACATTGAAGTTTATTAATTCTACATTGTTATCAAACAAACATTATAATATATGGCTGAGAAGAATTGACAAGGTCTTGGTCGCGTTAAAATATTTCGTACGGGGATATCTAAATAACGTGTAATTTCGTACATTGTAGAACAATCTACGTGCATTTTGTACAGGCTGCAGCATTCGCCATTCTTGAGAAAGAAATTACTGTGAACTTGCAAATACTAATGCTGTTTGGGTTGTATGTTTTCTCTTAATGCAGATCTTGTAGTTTATATGGTAGTTGTAGGAACATTTGCATATCAGAATCTTCACTTGACTTTTGAAATGCAGTTCAGCTCTCATTAATATACAGTTATTACCTCATCCAATATAACTTATACTTTAACTAAAATATTTAGTATGCATTCAAGAATTCTGTTTTATTTATTTAATGAGATTGCGCTATAAATAACAAATAAGTAGTAGTCGAGTATACAACCCTGAGGTACGCGTATTTATTAGACGACCGACATTTTGAAAACAATTTTAATGAATTACAAAATTATCTTAGAAACACGTAAATGTATCAAATAATATCAATAAAATATATTTTTAAGTAAAATGATACAGGGAAAAAATCGACTAAAGTACTAGCAGTGTTACCTATACTATCCGTGGCCGTCGAAAATTGTTTAAGATCTCATTTGACCTTTCAGGTCGAGAGTTTGTATGATAAACAATATAATCAAACAAATGGTTACGACTTGTTTATATCTTATGACTGGAAACAATTATGATTGAATTTGATTTTAAAATAATGTAATGAGACCCAATTTAGAACTTTATAACGATTTAAACTAAAACTCATTGAACGGTTATCACTCATTACCGCGTAGTAATAGTATCATATAATGATGTTTCTCCGCCTTAACATTAGTATTGAGGAATCAGTAGCTTTCTTGAATATCTTTGCAATATTGATAAAAGTAAGTTACAATATTATCAGAAATAACCGGGTTGGAGTTCATATAACTGTCATTGAATTTCAATTTAAAGCTGCGCTCACTTTGACGTTTTATGCATTAAAATGCGCAATTGATCCCTAATCGATCTCTTGTTTACAGGGTATTGTAGTGCACTTTATTTTCAAGTATACGTTTAAACTTTGTTATATCTTCAAACACTGTACAAAGTTAGTTACATTCACGGTTACACATACAAGTTTACGTGTGAACGGTTCTTTAAACAATGTATGTACTACTAACGGTCGGTTTCTGAATTGAGACAAGTACAAAATCTCAACTGATTATTCTCAATAACTTGAGTTTTTTACTTTTTACAAGGCAAAAACTAAACTGACCATTAAAAAGCTAATATGAGAAACGAAAAACTGTTAAGTGACGTTTAAGTATAGTTTGAGATTCGTATTACGTATTATTCATGACGTAATGCTGCTAATGTATAAGGAAAGTTGTGCGGATCAGATTTGTTGTAGCCCGCAATATAATAAATAATGTAAGAAATATTTAAGATACCATAAATATTTATTATATTCTATTTTTTGTATTAATTGTTATAGTGGCAATAGAAATACATTATCTGTGTAGATTTCAACTGTCTAATTATCACGTTTCGTGAGATACGTGGTGAAAGCAAAAAAATCACGTTTGTTGTATGGGAGCCCCCTTAAATATTTATTTTATTCTGGCTTTTAGTATTTGTTGTTGAAGTGGCAACAGAAATACATTATCTATGAAAATTTTACAGTAATTTTCACGGTTCATGAGTTAAAGTCTGGTGACAGACAACAGTTCTCGTTTTAACTTTTCGTTACGGAACCCTTAAACCAGGGGATTCAGTTTTTTAAATTATATCAGCATAGGTATCTTACAGGTAGGTAGGCAGGTTACATGATCAGCATAAACTTTTTTTGCGTAAAATAGTGTGTTTTCCTAAATTATTTTGATTCTATTTTAGTTTACTTAACATGTGTTATTCTTTTCAGTGGATGCACGTTTGTACAATAGAAGGACTAATTTATTTAATGCGAAATGGTAACTGTACATTAGAAGTATCTAGGAGGGGCACGCCATTGTTTTTTAAATTCAAATCTGACGAGCAGCTGTCATCTTTTATTTCAGTCTGCGATGGTTATTACAGGTACCTATAGCATGTTTAATAATTTGAAAATTTTATAAATGAATCCTAAAGTAAAGTACGAATGGTGAATGATTTAGCTAACGTGTTGTTAATGTATTAGTAATACTTCTTTATTAACCCCCGACGCAATAAGGGGGAGTTTTATAAGTTTGACGTCTCTCTGTGTGTGTGTGTGTCTGTCTGTGGTATCATAGCTATATTTAATATAAAAATAGGTTTTGATATAACCTAAAATATACAAAAGATTCTTTTGATTGTTGTGTGATAAAAAATGTATGAAATCAAGCAAGCGCGTCTTTACTCTTGATGCGTATTTGTATGAGAACGTAAGCAAAAGTACAAGAGGGCATAATTGGTTATCATTGGTGTTTCCTTTTAATGCTGGGACATAGTCACTCCTTACGGATGGAATGATATGGACAAAATTCACCACACGAGCCCAGTGCTGTTTGACAGGTGTTAACGATTGCAAATGCAGTTTAGAATAACAGGTAAACGTGCCTTCCGAAGCATGGAAGAACTTTTGTTTACCCATTCTATATCCTCTTTTAGTCATACACATAAAAACGTAAAACGGAGTATGCATGCTTGTACGTATAAATTGTTTTTGTGAGCTGAATCTAAAGTATTTTGTTTCGTTTCCCGCACCATTAATGCATTCTCAATAGGATGTTAGCATCCGTTTAATCAATGACAACACAAGACGATTTTTCAATTGGTTAACGATTGAAGATTGACTCTATATGCATTGTACATGGTAGAAATTTGTACATTGAAAAATAACGGGAACTTTAAATAAATAACTTCGTTTCTTTTACAGATTGATGGTAAAATGGACTTTTAATTTGTCGAAAGATGACGAGTCGCCATCATTAAAACAATTACACAAAATTAAATGTCATGGACCTGTCGGGTAAGTCTGTCGAAAAAGGTTTAAGGTATAATTTAAATAAAGCCAATAACAGATTTCCTTATATGTTACTAATAAATAATAAAGTTAACAACGCGATAAAGAATATTGTTTTATGACTTACGTTTACAAATTTTAAACTATTTTTTTCCTATTTTTTTTTAGGGGCGCATTCTCCTATCGAAAATTGGAAGAAAAACGTGGAAAGAAACATGGTTGTTATATACTGAGACAGTGTCAAGACCATTACAATATTTATTACTTAGATGTTTGTGCCAAAACAAGGTGAGCGTTGAAAATATCATATTTTTTTAAAAACTTATCATTATACTCGGATTTCCTCAACAGGAAAAAAGTGGCCCACAGCACTTTGATGTTTTCTGATAATATGTGTTCTTCGTTGTTATTATTATATATATTTTTATTTCAGGACAACAGAGACGTATAAAATAGAATACAAGGGTCACTGTTTTATGTTTAATTGTAAAGAATATTATGACATTGATGCTATTATCAGAGCTCACCAGGATCCAGAGAAAAAGATATTTTTGCACGAATGTATACCACCATCCGAGTTCGGTAAGCTCTTTTATTCTCTATACAAGGCATGCTTGCCATGGATTTGTTAAAAAAAGTCTTTATCTACATATAATATAAGTTCATTTATTTATCGTTTTTTATATTACTCCAGTATGGATCGCAATTTTGCATTGCCTTTTTTGTTACCTATGCTCACAAACCTTGTTTACCAACAATTTTTACATAAACAAAGTAGTTTTTACCAGGAGATTAAACATGATATTGTCTATCGAATGCTATAATTAACTTGTTTAAAAAAAAACTGGTTAATGCCAGAATATTGTAATTTGAAGTTATAGTTTTCAAATATGTTATTGCTGTACTCAATTTTTTTTTGTAAAGTAATGTGAAATAACCACACTTATACATTTATATAATATTCAACAGATCAATCACAACTGTTGCTATGTGGAGAACCAGTGAAGAAAGGTGTGCGTATCGATCAAACGGAATTACAAGAAGTGCTCAAGAACAATAAGAGTCCACGGTGTCTCCTCAATAAAGACATCATGCTATTTATAGGTACTCGTACGATACTCTTCTATTTTGATATTTCTTATTGATATAAACTCGTACATCGAAGATAAACAAGTAATTTTATTATTAATAATAGTTTCCTTTAAAGAGAGTAAGTTGTGTTTTTTTCTTATTACAAGTAAGCTGATCTATTTTCCTCGATATGATTCACACCCGTTATCTTACAATTAGATAGATCGCGCAGAATTTAAAATATTCAGTCACACAAAAACAGAGATTGTAGATAGACTGCGGGTATCGTTGGGTAATTGTTCGGGGTTTCGTGTCACGTCTAGAGGAGAAAAGAACTGTAAAAAAAAAATCGTTATGAAAACTAATATTTTTAACCTATATCAAATTCGCACTCGTTATTATAGCCTAAAATGTTAAGAACCCGCAGGATGAAAAATATACAGCGTCACAAAAACAAATATTGTAGATAGGCTGTGGGATTCGTTGGGCACTTATCTGTGGATTCGCTCCATGAAAAAGTAGAAAAGAAATGACAAAAATAAGATCGTTTTGAAAACTAATGGAAATGACTAAATTGTTTTATTTATTTTTTTAGGTTCTGAGAAAGTTGGATCTGGAAATATAACTGTGACATACAAAGCCCATTGGAATCTCGATGAAACAAAAAAGCTTATAGTTGCATTTAAAGCACTCCAACGTGAGGATCATCTGAAGGTTAGCGATTTTATAATTATCCTTTTGTGGGATGGGCTTATGGGATGTAACAGATTGCATAGTGACATTGGCAGAATTGTGCGAAATGCGCAGCCATTAATTAAAAAAGAAGAAGAAGAAGACAATTTTATTTTTCTAAACTACCACCAGTTCAAATATTGGGAGTCTTTTTGAAGAAAAACTGGTCAAACAAACTCCAAAAAGAAAGTCATTAAATGTTTACAGAAATTTTAATGTTTACAGAAAGAACTAACTGTTTGGTTAGGTTTTGTAGTGTGTGATCTGGGTTGACATTTTATTTGGCTAGTTATTGGATGCGAAATCAATGGTATATTCCAATCTTCATCTCTATTAAAAATTACTAATATTTTTTTTCATCTCTATAAAAAAACTTTCAGGGAACTCATCTTTTGATTTAAATAGTTTTCTTGTAAATAAATACTCAATATAAAACCCAGACCAGGATAAATGAATTCAAAATACGAAATATTTTGTTTTTTTAGTTAACATACGTGAAATACAACACATATTATCGAAATATTTAGGTGATATATGGTGAAAAGCGTATTTTGTTTAGTTATAAAAGGAAAACCACTGATTCGTTTTCGATAAAAGTTAAATGATGGTCCTATGTAAATTGCATCCATTTTGGTCCTTTAAGCTGTCGAGTAAAAAAAAAACAATTTTGAATATCGGCAACAATTGGCGGAACATACAAAAAAAACCACACATCGCCGTCGACCGAATAACCTCCTCCTTATTAATTTTCCAATGACGTTTTGTTATACAGGAATTTGTGGAGTTGGCAAGCAAATATGTGTGCGTTCAATCGTCGTCGCTTGTACGTCTGTACGGAGTCACATTGAACTCGCCCACCGCACTAGTGCTCGAATATGTGCCTCACGGACCCTTTGATGAGTATCTTAGGTAAGATTTATAGTAGAGATAGAGACTTACTATTCATTTATTACTAAAAAAAATACTCGATAACCTGTTAAAATCTTTACCTTTACCTTTATCTGCATTAAAACAGTCATAAGTTTAAAGCGATATTACCTATACAAATTCCTTAGAGCTTCACGGCACGGCATCACTAACTGACCGTTAGTGTGACAGGTTCGGTGCTTAGGTGTTGGTAGTAAATAAAACGACTGATTAAGCTTTATAAGTAGGTATATTTATGTTGTAAACAAAAAACTGTAACAACAAAAATAATAAGAATATTTAATTGCTAGTTACTCGATTACTTAATTACTCGATTGTAAAGAGAGCGTGATCAACGATATTTTTAATTTTATTAGAATGGTGACACTGACTTTGACAGTTCGTTTATAAAAACCAAGTTGCCGCCATTTTGGCAGACATTCTGTTTCCAAACGCCGAGGCGTAAAGACATCAGATGACATCACGCTCATCTCGTTATATTTTCGTAAGAAAAGTGATAAAATGGAACAAATCCACTTTGGTTACCCGTTCGGAATACCCGTCGTTATATATATATCACTAAAATTGCTTATAAAACAATCAAATACCCCATTTCTGAGTTTTCTTTTACTACATATAGCACTCTTAAACACTGTTAGAAAATTTTTTAGAAAGAGCTTATCACTGTTGCATTAGTAAATGATCATCTATTTTAATCTGTATTTTAATCATCTTAGTATATGTTTCACTAAAGTTATATCCACCATTTATTTAGTTACTTATTTATCCCTCCTAATATTACAGCCCCACCCCCCCCATCCATTTCATATTTTTGCTCACCGTTGGTTGCCTGGAAGAGATTGCTGCATAGCAATAATAGCTGTAATTTTTAGAAGTTCAATCTACAGAGGTTGGACTTAACAATTATTTTAAGAAGTATCATTGTTATATAGGAATAACGGAGACCGAGTGAAGCCGATTCATTTGAAGAAGGTGGCGGCGACTTTGGCCCGCGCTTTATGGGATCTATCCGAAGCTGGGCTCGTACACGGTTATATCCGTTGCCGACGCCTGCTATTGGCTGCGCATGACGCTGACCGCATTGTAATCAAGCTCTCTGGGCCCAGTTTGCGGTCATATACACCCCATGAGTAAGTATACTATAAATCTTAGACGGAAAATATAGATCCGTATCCGTTACATTTCGCGCGGATCTTTTAACTTATTAATTTTCAACTGATAGGCTGAAATTCTATATATAGGAGATTATATCTACCATTGACTTTAAATCTACAATTTAAAAAACTATCAAATTCAATAAAAGTATTTTTTATTTCTTAAAATCAAATAATTGGCACCTTTATATTGCAAACATTTTTCATAGTAAGTTACTATACCAATAGTACATAACTCAAAGGTACTAATCAACTATCTTTATAATAAGATCAATATCATAGAAAGTTTAACATTGCTTTTATAAATATAAGAAAATGAGAAAACCAAAACATAAATCTTTTTTATAATTAAAATGAGATGAATATAATAGAAAGTTATAAGTTATAAGATCACTTTTATAACTATGAGAAGATGAGAAAACCAAAAATAAATTCTAATAAAAAAAATTAATACTGCGTACCTAGTAGGTATAACCTACCATATAAAGTGTAAACATTAGATTACACGAGCAAACACAGTGAAAATTAGAGGAACTTGAAAAAAATATGAATTATAAAGATCCGTATCCTTATCCGCGGATCTTGACACCAAACATCGGTATTCGGATCCGTATCCGCGGATATACATTTTTAACGATCCGGCACATCGTAGGTACTTCATACAGCGCGTGAGATTAGCGTCATCCTTTCGTTTATGAATAAAACGTATGAATGTCACGATAGGTAAATAGAAAACTTGAAAAATATATATTTTTTGTTTAAAGTATTATGTTAAAGTTATAGATCAAATGGTAGCTATTTAGTCTTGTGAGGTTGCTGATGTATTACAAATAACCCTATATAAAATAATACGAAGATACACATTTTTTACATAATTTTTTCCGCTCGGTTTGCTCACGTATTGTACATATAAAACTTCCTCTTGGATAACTCTGTATTTTGACGATAGCCACACCAGAATCCGTTGCGTAGTTTAAAAGAGCTCATCGGACAGACAGCGAGTAGCTATTTGTTTTATATTATGTAAACACTGCGAACTGTCAACAAAGGCGTATAAAATAAGGACACGTAAGGGCAAATAATCTCAAAAATATATTAGAAACACTTAAACTGCCTAAAACAAAGAAACAACACTTACTGTCAAAAGAAAATAAATCTAAAATATTAAAAGTGAATATATAAAAAAGATTGCCTTCAGCAACAATCCCAAATAACTTACACTTAGCTGCTTAATAGACAATACAAATCGAAAATATAAATAGTAAATCGATAATAAAGGTTGCTTTCAGGAACACTGGATAGGATGGAATCAATAATTAAAATTCATGTTTCTATTTTTACAAAATGCTTGATCATATGTTATATTCTGATATTAAATTTGGGTAAATATTACCATATAGGTAGTATAAAATTTGTTCTATTCTACTGGTAGAATAAAATATGTCAAATTGAACATATCTAAAGTAGTCTTATTTTAAAAGGCATAAGGTTTCATTTACTAAATACAATCAGCATAGACTTATACTGCAGTGTCGTTACAGTATACACTGGATGCCTGTGGAATTCTTTGGTGATATGAATATGGCAAAGCGGTCAGCTGTCGGTGATATATGGGCGTTTGCGACGTCGCTTTGGGAAGTGTTCTCTTACGGCATCTCGCCCGCCGAAACTAATCCTGTATTGACTGAAAAGGTAAAATTATAACCGTCACACATTACTTGGACGCAATAATGTTTCAACCTACACAGACATTTTGAGATAATGGCGTCTAAGTATAATAATAATAATAATTCAGTCATAAATAACATTGTCCTAAATTTAGTTAGTATTAGGTACAGTGTAATTAAAGGTAATGTTAGCGTATAATATGGCTAATAAAATTTGGATGTATTAATGATTTGTTTTATGATAAAAATAGGTTTTTCCATATTTATTTCGTTCGTGTGACTTAAGGCTCTTTTGCTAAATGTTAAGCATGTAAAGTATAATCAGAATACACCAAAATCTCTGTAAGCCACTTTTTGTGGGTTAACGCATTATTGCGTCCAGTTATTAATTTATATTAAATCTTGTGTTTTTGGTCTTGATGCAACGTTAACTACTCAAAGAATTTGTCCACTTAAGCATCTATATCTAAGCACCTATCTATATCTGGAGGCTAGGAAGATTCGTAATTTGTAAATGTTATGAGGTTGTTTCGAGGTAGTCAGCTGTCAAAACTCGAGATAATTTTAAAGTTACTTTGAAATTTAATACAGTAAAAAAGTTTTTTATAGTTTGACTAATAAATAAAAGAAATATATTAATATTTACTTGTTAATGTGCATTTTTTTACCTTATTACGAAGCCCCAAAAATTCATGATTCAAAAAGGGATCATGTCCCTACCTACATACGTTAGTGAAATGTAAATAAAATTTATTAAAAAAGATGAATTTTCATATAAAATGCAAAGAAACTTTTTCCCCAACCTATTAATAGAAATATAATAAGCATAAAAGTATGATTATCGCCAATAGTATATTAAAGACTACCAGAAAAAAATTAATTTATTTTCATTTATTGTCTACGCCTGTATTGATTGCGAAAATACTTCTTGCGTATAGTTATTTCATTTCCATTTTTTGTTCTGTATGTATGTATCTGTGATTTAATATAAAATGAATTTTGACGTGTGGTTCGTAGAGTTACGAGCTAGGTGACAGGTTATTGCGGCCGACGCATTGTCCTACTGAAGTGTGGGCGTTAATGAACCAATGTTGGCAAGCCACGCCCATACGCCCGCAGGAGATTATGCGGGACATGAATCATATGCTGCACAGAGGTACATAATTAGTGTATAATTTTTATTATTAGTGTTTAATTTGTGTTTAGCTACATGTTAATGAAAAAAATATATATCATCTTTGTAAATGATGTTCAACCTGTTCGAAAGTAGAGTTATTAAACATGTCACAATATTAGAAGTAACTAGCTCAATCGAAAGTTAATTAGTCTGTGCATTTAGTGAGAGACCTTTTTGTTTACAGAATACGTACCTATTCACGAATACGAAGAACCAAAGATATGTCTCAACCACCATATGGATACTACAGATACCGTGTCGAGTAAGTTTATATTTTGTGTGTCATTATATTAAACTAGTTTCAGCTAGCGGCTTCGCCCGCGTGGTCCTGTATTATATATATAAATCTTCCTTTGGAATCACTCAGTATATCAATGGAAACTGCATTAAAATACGTTGCGTCGATTGAAAGATCTCAGTGTAGAAAGGAAGTGTTTTATACTACGTATAGATGCGTCGTAGTATATATGTAGACGTCGACCTTTATTTATTGACGTCTTTAAAAAAAAGCCGTCGTTCTACACTTTTTATATTAATATAGGTAAATAAACAGACTTTAATATTTTAGGTGACAGATTCGCACCCAGTGAATTGAGTGATGCGAGTAGCAACAAGTCGCTTATATCTGACAGTAGTGCTTTGTCGCTGAATGGGACATTGATAAATCACTTCGAAAATCATGTAAGTGTTAATCTGTTAAATTAATTTATGTGCGTGTCTTCTAAATTATAATCAACAATAAGCTCGTTTATTTGGTTTGTTATACATGATATAATTTGATTTTACGTATCCTTATTATATAAAAATGATCACTGGTTTCTCTGTATAAATAAAACAGGAAAAATTGGGTTTTGATTTGTTTCTAGCCGGTTTTACTCGGTGCAAGATCTATCGCCATCATCGTTTATATTATAGTGAACCGATGGCATAGCTTTTTCACTTTCTTCTTTTTCACATAAATCCTATCTGCTCAATGAAAGCGGATTATAACCGTAACGAATTCTTTCGGCTATTCGATTTAGTTCTCAAACTGCAAGCTGACGAATTCACTGGACGGTATGAGTACGGTCGCACTAGCTCTTCGTAGCGAGTCTACGATCCGTAGCGAGTCGTCGCTTCGTAGCGTGACTACGACGCGTGCTCCACTTGCTGACGACGCGGGGGAGAAGTTCGTAGGTGGCGGCCAACCGAGACGAATGCAACCTATTGTCACTAGAGGCACTACGTATTTCGTGACACTCACAAAGAGGATTGGAAGTGTGAGTACTGTCCGTGGAGAATATATTGTTATAAACCCTGTAAATTGCTAAAGCGTCTGGCTGCCATTTTGGTGACATAATTGCGTTTAAAAATCGGTACCGTTAACAAATAAACTCTGGTTGATGAGTGTACAGGTTGATTTGGGTTTTGTAGAGATTACACACAATTTTTGTTACGTTTTTCTTGTTTTTATTGTTATTGTTATTGTTATTGTTAAGTTTTGTTATTACCCGACTACTTCGGCGAAGCCAAAAGGAGGGTTATGATTTTAGAGAGCATTAAGAGCGCCCTCTAGAGACATTAAGTAGTAACCTAAAAAAATATATACTTTTTTCGTTAGCACACGGAATTATATTTGTTATGTTATGATCAGTGGCATACGATTACGCTGTCCTTTGGCCATCGCTATTGCAATATAGCTATAACTATAAAATAAATTTATTGTTTTAAACTTTTTAGAACGTGTTTAGTGTTAGTCGGGTTTTAGTTTTTGAACTTATTTTTTTATTTAAATGTCAACTGCAATTATGATTTTCACAATAAGTAAACCTAATTTCACCAAAAATAAATATTTCTTATGTATCTAATATAATTATTGCTTTTGATGTTGTTTAAAAAAAATCTTTACCGTTTGTTATCGTGTTATTGTAAAGTAAATGTTATATTTTTCATATATTTTTTTAATTTCCATAAACCTCAATATTAATATAAAAAGTGACCTTTCCGAAAATTCATCCAATAAATTATCAAACTAAAAGTTATTAAATGATTACAACAAAACTTTAGGAAATAATCATAAATATTTCAATGATTAATAAATAATTTATCACATGCATTTTCGGCTATCTCTACTTTCTATTTACAAATGACGTCACGCGTGTGTCATTTAGACAAGGCTCCAGCGCATTAGTAATTAACGAGGCATATAGGAATACATGATTGAATTCAATGGGATATAAAGTAAAAATTTCATAATTTCACAGTTATGTTTTCCAGTCTCGATAAGTTCTCAAATCTCAGCTCAATTACTTGTAGTTGTCGCCCGATTTAAGGAAAATTATGGAATATACAGTATTTAGTTACTTATTTATTTTTTATGTAGGGAAATTATGGTGAAGTGTACCGCGGTTGGATGGAATGGGACACGGACGAGCGGCAAGAGGTCGCCATCAAGAAATTGACAAAGCAAGCTAATGTTATTGACAAAGATAGCACACTCTATATTGATTTCAAGAACGAACTGGAGATAATGAAGGTAGGAAAAGCGTAGTTGCATCAGGCTATATGACTTATATATAAATGAAATAATAATTACCCACCAAATTTTTTATTTATACTTTTAATAAGTAAAAATATATAAGCTATTTTTGTGTTAAATTATTTATTTATTAAATAACTATCTTGTTTTAAATTAAAAATAGTGTCTTTGTTTTCCATGCGACGGTTCAACTTGCTGAGTTATGATGTCATAATGTAATTTACATTATTGTATGGGTTCATGTTTAAATTAATCTATAATTTTTTTATAACGCCTATAAATGATGTAGTTTTAAAATGTTGATCAGATAAGGACATAATGATGCATTTTATTTAAAAAATGTACATTTATTTTTCTGAGAGGTGAAAAAACCAATGTATTCTGTTTAGTCTTTGAATCACAAGAACATAGTGAACATCCTGGGCTATTCATGGAAGCCGGACGTAATGATCGTGATGGAGTATTTGGAGGAAGGCTCCCTCAACTACTACCTCAAGTTTCAGGGGGACAAGCTGTCCATTATGCATCTCCTCATATATGCCGGTGACATTGCCACGGTGAGTTATGATTTACAGTATTCTGTCACTGTTTTGGTTACTTTAGTGGAAAGCAAATCGCACCCCCGGTGCGACACTGTCACTTTTGCAAAAAATACAAAAATTTGTTAAATATGTAATAATTGTCCTAAAGCCCCCTTTACTTGGTGCGATAATGTTATTTTTGTAGATGAATCATACGGAACTATGTTCCATATAATTCATCTCATCTGTATCTTCTAAAGTCATTGTTTTGTGAGGTGGCAGAGTTTAAAACTCTTCTCCTGAAAAACTAAATTTTTGCAAAAGTGACAGTGTCGCACCGGGAGTGCGAAATGATGTTAAATAAGCTTCTGTTTTGAAAAGCTTAAAAGGAAATCATTAATTATTTGTAATATTTACCGGACTTATGTTTCTTTGAACACTGAAAACTGTAAGAATAAATCGCTCTTTTGAGTTTCTTTCTGTTTATTTTTTTCAGAATAAGTTTTTCTGGTGTAAAATTTATGAAGAGTCCGTAAAGATTTTCGTTTTTAAAAGCTTACAGTTAATAAATGATAATGCTCAAGTGAAGATTCGCTTCCTACCACTGTCTTCAAAGAGCATATTTTTTTATTTCTTTTATTAATTATCGATCCAGATATACCCAGTTATTGCTATTGCCTTGCAGACACTCCCTCTAGTTCATTATTTATTTATTTTTCAACAAGCTATAAGGACGCTTTTTGTGTAGTTTCTTTCTTATCTTGTTTCTTTGTTTTGTGTCCTATGTAGTGTTCAATAAAGCATATATTATTATTATTAGGGAATCCTACTTCATGTAAGTTACTATACCGATGTCTTTTCTATCAGGGCATGGAGTATGTGTCATGTAAGAACATTGTGCACCGTGATTTGGCAACGCGCAATATCCTCGTGGTGGACAAATATCACGTGAAAATCTCGGATTTCGGTCTCGCTCGCACCATTCCTAAGGACGATGACCAATATAAACTAAAGACTGAGAGATTACTGCCTATTAACTGGTAAGTATTACACAATATGATTGTGTCAAGTACTTGTATAGTTTATTGGAAGTATGATATGATACTATATTTCTTCAATAGTATTTTGTAAATAAAATAAATGAATTTTAAAAAATAAGCAAAGAAAAAATAATTAAAGAAAGTAGTTATGTAAAAAAATAGTAATATAAGATATATTATACGCTAACATTACCTTAAAATAGAAGGTAATGAATAAATTATTATTTTTATAATTATATATTAAAGTTCAAAAATACATTGTACCTACATATAGGAACCGGACATTAACTAAGACATTATAAAATATTACATGATATGAAATAAGATGATGTTGTTGTGTGAGATGATGATGTGTTGAAATAAGTTTATTGAAAGCACTTTTGACAAGAACAACAAGCGAAAAAACTTACCAGTTCTAAACAGAAGTATCGTCATTCATTATGCTATATAAACGAACAATTGATTAGTTTCGCTGTTGAAGATAATAGTATTTTTGCGTACTATATATTTCGACAGCGTTATAATACGGTTAGCAAGCGTAACAATAAAAAATAAATTTAAGCATCTTACTTATAATACTACATCTTATAATATAACTACAATACTATTTAAGCATAATTAATTGTATGACCGACTTTTTTGTATTTATTTGTGTTTGCGTGCGTGCGTGTGTGTGTGCGTGTGTGTGCGTGTTTGTGCTTGCGTGTGTACGCGTGTTTGTGCGTGCGTGTGTGCGTGTGTGTGTTTGTGTGTGTGTGTGTGTATGTATTTTTGATGTATTTTATTTATTATTAATAGGTATGCACCGGAATCGGCGAGCGATCCGTGGCTGTTTTCAACTAAGAGCGACGTGTGGTCGTACGGTGTCACCGTGTGGGAGATATTCACGCGCGCTACCGTCGAAGTGCCCAAGTTCGACATGACTAGACCGACGGAAAGAGCTTCCTGGTACACCACTCTTATTATCTTTACTAATATTATAAAGAGGAAAGGTTTGATTGTTTGTTTGTTTGCATCGAATAGGTTCGAAACTACTGACCGATTTAAAAAATTATTTCACCTACGGGAAGTTACATCATGTGCGGTGAACATAGGCTATATTTTATCCCGAAAAACAGCAGATAAAGGGATGAAAATGGGAGGGGAAGTTTGTATAGGGAATTATAACGTTACCATAGTAACCACTGTTTACTATTCAATTTGTCATTGTTACTTTGAGATTGGACACGAACCCACGACCTTTTGCAATCCGAGCGACTACGACTAGGCGTTTTCATTAAGAATATCTTATTATATTGTTTTTATATTCCCTTTTTTTTAGATTTAACACTATTAAAGTAATTTTTATAATGAATTTTTGCAATTTATGTATTTTTATTACAAGCTATTATTTAACTTGAAATGTATTATGTACGTTCATCTAATCTTGCAACTGAATTTTAAAGCATTTATACTCAACCGAGGAAGTTGAAGTTTTTGATACAGGCTTAGTTTAGATAAAAATCCAAGGTTAGCTAGGTCACTTCTATTTAACAAAATATGGAAGACAGTCCAGGATGGCGGCAAATTTTTATTGTGCGCTCATATCATGAATATAAATCAGTGTCTCCCAAACATTATTCGGCCGTGGCCCAGTAATTTTCACACTGCCCCTTCGTGCGTGACCCATTAAATACTTTTAAACCCAACTTTAAAATGTTTTATTCTATTATTATTGCTATCGTAAAAATATAATTCATACTTTGGTATCGTCAATTTAGCCACTAAATTTTGGTGTGAAGGTTGAAAGGTTGAATTCAGCGGCAGCAAATACAAAAAAAAAAAACAGAATAAAATAAATATTTAAGGGGCTTCCATAAAACACGTGTGATATTTTAGCTCATTACCGGTACGAATCCTACGTGCGCGAATCCGACTCACTTGGCCGGTTTTTTTTTACTAAACAATTAACTAGACAAAATGACTAAAGGTTTAACCTACCGGTACCGGGTCGGGTCCCGGCAAATGAGAAACTTTGGTATAGAAGAAGGGGTCTGAGAAGATTAAGATTTTATATAAAGTTTGTCGTTATTATTTTTCTAACAACTAAAACAAATAACTCAAATCACACGGCCGTAATAGTTGTTAGTCTATTGATATATATTTTTTTATTATGTAGACTTGTATTGTATTTTAGACTTTCGTATATACAAGGCTCGTGGACTATTCGTTTGCACTAGTTAGTGTTAGAGGAGATTGCGATATAGAGAGAGATTGGTCAATATTGTAAGACGCTGAAACTTTTTACTGACGCTCATTTATAAACAGTAATTTTTTTTTTACCTTTTTTGGTATTCGCTAAATATTCACAGTTTTAAATCACCGAGATTCTTTTCGTTATTTTAAGTTCATACTTGCATTTTGTTTCCAGCTTTCAAATACCAGACGACTGCCCTTCGGAGATATACAGGTACCTCATGACCGACTGTTGGAATTTGGACCCAAATAGGAGACCTAATTTCACAGAACTCAAGGTCAAAGCCAAGAGATTCTTAGACGATTACGACCAATCCACTTAGTCCTGGAAAGAAATACACATGATGCATGTATAGCTCCTATTACATATTGACAAAGAATATGCAAAAACGCATTTATTTATTGTTATAACATTTATAAGTCAAATTGAAGGGTCTAGAAGATTTTTTCTGCACTAAACTGTTTTTATTTGAAAGGAATGTAATTTTATATATGAAATTTTATAATTTCTAATCTAGGTACTGTTCTGTACCTTATCATATTTTATATATTTATTTGCACAATCTGTATAGAATATATTTATTTATAAACGTGAACAATGCACATTATACAAGAAATAGTTAATAGTGCAGAAAAGTTAATGCAGAATATCAAATAGGTTTAAAAATAGTAGGGATTCGCTTGATTTCTTATTGCATATAGTGGTAACAATTTATCTATCTAAAAGGAATCACTTCATAATGGTTGTTATAAAGTTGCTTGTCTCAGTAATAGACAAACATTTTTATTGGTTGCTCTTTGTCCCGCCTACAAAATTTTTCTAACATTGGAAATTCAGTGTTGTTTATGTATTTAATTAGGTTAAATTCATAAAAAATCTTATCTGTAGTTTTTTGTTACCGAATTTATTATAACGGTAAAAGTTATTTCTTCGGCCATTATTGAGACCGACCGGTTATCAAGTTGTATTGTTGATCGAAGGATTTTACTGCTATTTATGGTTGCCACACTTGCCTTATTTATATAAATCAAGCAAATCGTTACGAATGTCAATTGTAAGTTCATATGAAGAAAGAGTTGTTTATGGTTCCTGGAAGCATTTGCCTTAGTTCAGTATGTCATTTATTTTAATTTAATTTTCTGTAAATATAAGTTTAAGCTTTAACTTTAAGTGAAAAATCGCAATCTCATATGATTATTTTTCAATTTTGAACAATAATAAAAGTGCAATCAATGTTATATAAATATTCGAATCAACTTATTTTTAAATATTGAAATATTTCATATGTTTTTAAGTAAACTGGATTGATCAATAGTGAAATCTTAAGGCATATATTTTGCGAGTTGATTTTTATTACACATTATCGTTTTGTTTACAAAGAATGACTGGAACAAGACGAGTCGTTCTATTGCAGTCATATTTAGTTCAGATCACAGTTTAGATGGATTATTTACCTCATTTTCATTATAATAAAACAGGATGTATTTTTCTTTCATGTTCAGTGCTGAAACTGTAAGGATGAGTGCATTATTGATTTATAAGCCAAAGATATTATGAATGTACTTTTTAGTGTTCGTGTTTTTAGTTGATACAATTTATATATAAGTAGCATATATTTAAATCTGTAAGGTAGTGCCACTTTTATTGCGTATATGTAAATATTAAGGTATACAAAATGATGATAGGTCTAGATGTTCGTGGCAGTTACATTTAGTTTATGTTCTGTTAGTTATGTTTATTTTATGAGTGGAGTGAATGGGATGTAGTGTAAGTGTAAACGGTGACTGGTATTGTGATCGAATTGAGACTGAAATTATAATGATTGTCAACGGTGCTATGGTAAATTGAACCTTATTTTGTATTGCTGCATTGAAATTTTTTCACCATTACTGTAATTGGAATATATTGTTATTATTGAAATTATTAAAAAAAGTAGTTTGACACTTGGAAAATTAAAATAGACGTCATTTAAAGTGTTATTTGGAGGATTCTAAAATTTAGTTTTCTTCAGCGAATATAGCAAACGACATAGGAAAGGTCATATAAAAGAAATAATTTTGTATTTACATTGTCATGAATTTAAAATAAATTTAGTAGTTTTTATATTAATACCCAAAATGTTACATATTACAACCTAACAAGGTATATTATCAAAGTGGACTAGTAGGAAAGTAATATTCTTTTACAAAATGATTTTTATACTTTTTTATTGATACATTACCAACACAATTCATTCAAAAAACCATTGTTTTTAAATAATAGTGATTGGGAACTTTTAAATTAGATAATTATGTTGGATTTGTAAATCTATTATTATTTATAAAATCTAAAGAGATCTGTTGCATGAATATTGTTATTGTAATAGACAAGTTAAAAAATGCCGGAGCAATTTTAATGTGTGCAAATGGAATAAGAGTGTGCGAATGGAATAAGGGTGTGCGAATGGAATAAAATGTTTCTAAGGCATAAGTCAATTTAGGCGTTTGTCAATTATAAAAACTATTAAATTGTTATGAAAACGTTTGTATAGACAGTTGCACAACCGGCCCTTTTTTAGCATAGTTGTAAATATTTTGTATAGTAAGTACGTAAGCATTTGTTTAAATAATGTTTTAAGACTGGATGTTAAAATAGTTTCGAACAATGTGAAAATAGTTAACGAAGGTGAAATGAAACTGAACAGTAAAAGATTTCCAATGTTAATTCAATATGGCGTTTAAAGTATGTTTATTTAATGTTTAAATCTTTTCCATATCACGACCTAGTATAAAACAAAGTCGCTTTCTCTGTTCCTATATCTCTGTGTATGCTTAAATCTTTAAAACTACGCAACGGAATTTGATGCGGTTTTTGTTTCATAGATAAGGTGATTCAAAAGGAAGGTTTTTATGTTTAATAAAAGACCACGCGGACGAAGCCGCTGGCGGAAAGCTAGGCTATTATAAAATAAACTAAGGTTAAATGTAAATTATAAAAACTTGCCCAAAATAAATTTTATTATGAAGACTTGTAATTGGTAAAATTTAACCATGTTGAGCATATTATGTTTTTTGCAGACTATTCGACTTTTTAAAGATTGAAAATTTCCTTATTAAAAATATTGATTATTTTATATATCAAATATTATTTCAATAATAGTATACAGTTTGTTAGATAATGATCATTGCAAAAGCATCAAATGATAAGATCAATCTTATTCCATTAACATAAAACTGAAGGTACTACCACTGCGTTTTGCTTTATATGAAAGTTATCACATATTTTAGTAATTTTCTGATTATTTCTTATGTAAAATTGAAACTGGTTGAGCCAATTTTGGCCCGTCTACAAGTGAGCATTATGCAGCAACTTGATTCGCTGCAATTATTGATCAATGACATAGAGACAAATGTTTTTTCTTACTATAAATATGGACTATGGTAAAATATTGTTAAGCCCTGTGTGTAGTTTTATGATGACGTTGAGATATATTACATATTTTACTGACATGAAATGCATCGAAAGCTGATAACATGAAGGCCTCGTTTCAGCTAATGGTTACTTGATAAAAGCATGTCAATGGCGTTTCAATAACTTTTCGAGATAAACAGTTCCTTTTACTATAAGACAACAAAAATATTATTCATTATGGAGTTACTAAGAAGCCATTGTATATAAATAATAGAAGTAATCCAGGCAGCAAATACAGATTTAAAAGCGATATATTGAAACGTCCAGATAGCGTAAAGCTTCATTCACACGAGCAGCGTCGGCCTTTATGGTGGACTACCGGCACCGGTATTAGTGTTAATTGTTCGTTCATATATTATCTATGGCTATATAAATCTCGGTGGCGTAATAGATAAGCGCCGTATCCCGTTGTTGTTAAGCAACTTTCGCATGGGTCGGTTACGGGATGGGTCACCAAAAATGAATATCAGTATCTCCGTGCTTCAGAAGACATGATAAGGCGATGGTCCCGGCTGCATTTGCAGTCTTTAATAGCCTCCATTCCGCATTGGGCCAGCGTGGAGTGTTATGGCCCATCCTCCTTAACCATCCATAAGGAAGGCCTGAGTCCGTGTAGTGGGGACGTAACAGGGCTGATGATGATGACGATATAACACATCAGTGCCGGTGCTGGCATTGACACATCACTGATATGACGCGTGGTAAGAATAATTATCATTAATACGGGCCTGTGCCAAAAGTGTGCCGGTACTGATACATCAATGATGTGTGTGAATCAAATTTTATAATGACATTAATGTAAGAAGAATCTAGGCACTGGAATCGGGGTCTGATGATAGAATAAGAAACATGAATTTGAAAATTATTTTTACATTGAGCGGAACAATCAAATGTCTGTTAATTGCCATGATTATGAAATAAATTATTGTACGTAATCTTTATGTTGTGTTGTTTTTATTATTTGTGTGGGGAAAACCAATCTAAAACTCCTATTTTAGCGCTCTCTGCGCGAAGGCGAAAAAGAATATATGAATTATAATACACTATATTGATTACACAATCAATAAAGATAATTGACACAGAATCTACCTCGTGTGTTCATAAGTTTTGAGACAAAAAAAGTTGCGTAACTTTTTTTATTATTAACTTATATTCCTAAAATTTTTAGTAACCATTAAATAGATAATAATCAAAAATAAAATAAATATTTTTTTCAAAATGACCGCCCTTGTTTTTAAAACAGATTCTTAGACGTTTTGACCAGTCATCAATGGCGGCACGAATGTTTTCTAGCGGAATTCGTTTTGCTTCTCGAACAAGAGTTCGCTTCAGTGACTCCAAGTTTGGGTGGTACTTTCAACAGGCCCTGGGCTCTAATTCAGTCCATAAAGAATAATCCACCGTGTTGAGGTCGGGGCTGAAGGAGGGCCACTTGTCCGCCGCGATGAAGGCCGGTACATTCTCTCTCAACCGAGCTTGGCTGCTTTTTGCTTTATGGGATGGCGCCGAGTCTTGCTGAAAAACCCAATCCTTATTGTGAATTAACGTATCAGTATCAGACAGGTGTTTCACCACGGGCTCTAAAATGTCACTCTGATAATTCTTGGCTTTCATCTGGACACCTTGTTGGCAGAAATGGGCGTGACACCTTCATACGAAACTCCCCACTATACCATCACACTAGCCGGAAAATGAGTGCGCGAGACATTCCGTGCAGAAGCTGGGACATCTTTGCTACTTTTGGCGTACATTTTTCTTGTTTCGTCTTGTGTTTTTTATTGTTTCGTCGGTTGAACTTTTCTTCGACAGTAAACATTTTCTCGTCGATGAAGAGTATCTTCCTGGCATCATGTCTCCTCAGAAGCAATGGAC